GAGAGAGAGAGAGAGAGAGAGAGAGAGAGAGAGAGAGAGAGAGAGAGAGAGAGAGAGAGAGAGTTTGAGAGAGAAGAGCAAATCACGTTGGTCAAACGTGTCGAACATCCAATTAAAGTATAATACTTGATCCACATAAAAGTATTATACTTCAACTTCAAAATTGGTTTACCAAGTGTTGGTGTCTGCTTTGGGGTCTCTTTTGTTTTCAAGCTGTTGGAGTCCAAACAGTCAGCAGCAGCAGCAGCAGCAGCAGAACACCGCTTCTTCAGGTCAGCCGTCACTGCTCTCGCTGCTGGTAAATGGCAGCGGGTGATGCGTTTTCGTGCTTCTTCGAGTAAAACGTGGGGGAGGTGCTGCCATGTTACACATATTTTGTTGATTGGGTCAGGGTGCTGCACCCTGGTCTCCTGCATAACGCGAGGTTGACGTCCGAGAGAGCGGGAGCCAGTGTGTGTGGCACTGATTGACGTGGCGGTCACTGAGTGAAAGCAAGGCGATGGCTCTTTCTCGCTCCACTTTAATAGCTGCCGCCTGTCGTGCTCGTTTTGGCCACCTTGTGCCGCTCCTGCTCATCATCTGTGTCATTTGTATGCTTGACAGCCCAACTTTCCAGCACCCGCAGTACCCAACGCAAGGATGGAACGGCTCTTGCAGCAGATGCAGGGTGGCATGCCCGGCATGGGCGCGCCACCCTCAGACCAGCCGACGATGGACACGGCTGAGACGGTGCACATCTCTTCCCTCGCTCTGCTCAAGGTCCGCTTGACTGTACAGAGCATGCTTTTCGCACCCGGGCTCGGCTTTAGGTTTTGTTGCCTTTTTTTTTGTTTGTTTCCGAAGCCTTAACGACAATGCTTTCTTACTCCATGCTATGCGTCTGGTGCCCTCGCGTCTTATAGATGCTCAAGCACGGCCGTGCCGGTATTCCCATGGAGGTCATGGGCCTCATGTTGGGCGAGTTTGTGGACGACTACACTGTGCGCGTCATCGACGTCTTTGCCATGCCCCAGAACGGCACGGTATGGTGCAGTGTTCAGCCCGCCCCAGACCGAAACGCTTGTCCTTTGCATCACGGGTTCCGGATCATATCTTATGCCCTCGCGTCACCTTGTATCAGGGCGTGAGCGTTGAAGCCGTGGACCCCGTCTTCCAGACCCAGATGCTGGACATGCTCAAGCAGACTGGCCGGTATGTACATGAAACTCACCCTTGCTTGCCTAACTCAGCGCAACCAGGGCCGGAGCGACCAAATCGCTCCGGTATATTTTTGAAAATGCATCTTGGCCTGGATTTACCGACTGATTGCTTTTCCTGCTGTCTGTGCTGCCGGTGACGTGGCAGACCGGAGATGGTGGTGGGCTGGTATCACTCGCATCCCGGCTTTGGCTGCTGGCTGTCAGGCGTCGACATTAATACCCAGCAGGTGAGAGTGTGCTCGCACATGGCCGTGTCGAGGATGCCGAGATGGAGGTTGCTCATGCGTGTGCCCAATGTTTGCAATGGCCTTGGTTGTGGCGCTGCTGCCCCGCACCTCACTTTGCTTTGGCTTCTGCAGAGTTTCGAAGCGCTGAACCAACGCGCGGTGGCCGTCGTCATCGATCCGATCCAATCTGTCAAGGGCAAGGTTGTGATTGATGCTTTCCGCCTGATCAACCCCCAGGTGGGTCAAGTATCATGCTCGCATGCGCAGTTCCGCAGACACGCCAAACATGACGGCAGACACGGTTGCACTCACGCCATGGCTGATGCTGGGAACGTAGACCTTGATGATGGGCCAGGAGCCACGTCAGACAACGTCAAACCTCGGCCATCTGGAGCGCCCATCGTTGCAAGCGCGCATCCACGGCTTGAACCGTCACTACTACTCTCTGGCCATCAACTACCGCAAGAACCCTCTTGAGGAGAAGGTGTGTCCAAGCGCGCGCGTGGTGATGGACCGTAGGCTCATTTTTTGCAAAGGCGATGCCAGCTCACAGGTATTTGTTTGTGTAATCGTGATACAGATGTTGCTGAACCTGCACAAGCGCCCTTGGGATCATGGTTTGACGCTGGAGGACTTTGAGAAGCACAGCCACGACAACAAGCAGGCGGTCGAGGAGATGCTCAAGCTGGCCAAGCTGTACAATAAGTCTGTGGAGGAGGAAATGTCCATGACCAAGGAGCAGCTGGCTATCCGTCACACGGGCAAGCAGGATCCCAAGCGCCACCTGGCTGAGAAGATTGACGTTCTCATGAGCAGCAACATTACTCAATGCCTTGGCGCCATGCTCGACTCGGTGGTGTTCAGCTAGCTGATCTAATCATTCTCTTGACCCCAATCCCCCGTTGCCGTGTTGTGTTGTGTTGATGTGTATCGCACTTGTACATCAGAAATTGACTGCCTGATCATCATCACACAGGAATCGTCACAGACGGTGGCTGTTTGAATTAGTCAGTCAGCTGGCTTTGGCAGACGAGGAATCAAGTGTACAAAGGTGAAGAGGGAGACAGAACAGAAGGACAGAGACACAAAACTTGGGAGTTGAAAAAAATCCGCAAAAGCTTGTAAAAAAAAGTCAGGGGGTACACGCAAGCAAGCTCGGCCACTCTAGACGCAGCACATAGGTGCGTTGGGCAAGCGTTCAGTGTGGCGGGCGTCACTAATGGTCGAGGATTCGGAGGTTGCCAGTCACAATCTTGTTTTCGAGAACGGAGCCCTGGGGAATGTCGATCGAGTCGTTCTCCTGCGCAATGATAATGACAGTGCCCCGCAGGATCACATTCTTGCCAAATTTGACGTCACCGCTCACGGTCAAGTGATCCAGCTCCAGAATGTCGGGAATGTTCTCAAAGCGACGCAAAAAATCCTTGACCTTTTTGAAGTGGTCACCCAGCTTGATCAGAGGCACCGAGTCAAACAGGCGCGAAGCGTTCATGGACAAGGTGCCGTGGCGCAGCTGGTAGAGATTGCTCATGACGAGGAGCAGGTCGGAGGTCTTTTTCACGGGCAAAAAGCGGCTGCGAGGCACGTTGATGCCAATGGCACCGTTGAAGTTCTTGATGGCCGAACCGACGGCTTGCTCCAGTTGAATGATGACACGGCCGTCATCGAGCGTCTTTTTGTTCTCAATGACCTCCATGTGCAGGGACTCCTCTTCCACGAGGCGCTTGATGGCGTGCAGGTTGATCCAGAGGTTGTTGGTGTTGAACACGCGGAACTTGGTGACCGACTTGAAGTCCTCTTCGTGATCCTTGGGCACCTGTGCCACCTCGAGGAGGCGAATGCGGCCCTCGTACTCAATGAGGGTACCACCCTTGACATCAGCGCGTGTCTTGTCTGTGACTTCCATGACAAACTCGCAGTCGTTGCCAGGGCGGGTAACGTAGCGGAGAATATCCTCATCCACTGTGGCGCCAAGGTTGTCAATGTTGCTGATGAAGACCCATTCCTTGCCGTCATCCAGCAGCTCCTGGAGCAGACCAGAGTCGTAGAATGAACGGTACAGATCGCCGTGGCCTGGGGGATACCAGTCCTCATCGCTGTTGTCCGTGTTCTTGGGGAGGGGCTGCAGGGTTTCCTTGAGGATACGGGGGTACTGGCTTTGGTTGAAGACCTTGACCTCGGTCTTTTTGTACTTGCGAAGAACCTTTTGGGTATCATCGTGGGTGTTGAAGGAGTTCATCAGCACCAAGGGCACGGTGGTGCCGTAGCTGTCGTTGAGATGCTCGATCTGGCGAACGCAAAGGTCCAGAAAGGTGAGATCGTTGCGGACCGAGATGACGCTCTTGGGGCCAACACAGCCCATGGAGGTGCCGAGACCACCGTTGAGCTTGAGAACGGCCAGCTTGGACAAAGGCACGCTCAGTTCACTGGCCGCCTTGGGTTCCCCGGCAGCCACTGTTGCATGTGGCACAATCTAGTGTGCGGCAATTCAGAAAAGGGGAAGGCAGAAATGAGTACCGAGACACAGTGGTGCAGACGGCGAGGAGGTGGGGGGAGAAAGGAGTAGCTTTGGCACGCACAGAGCCAGCCGGCGGCGGGCGGATCTTGTCCCAGCTGATCTTGGTGCCGCGCTCGCCCATGTACTGATCAAAGAGGGTTTGGAAGCCCTTGCAGTTGCGCTCGACCTCCTGCACACCAACGCAAGTAAGATGACGGCACCAGGGCTGGTTTAAGGAGATTGTGGGCAAAAATGAGCAGTTTCTTACGTCGCGGAGGTTGAGGGGAGCGGTCATGATGAGCTTGGAGAGCTCCGCCGAGAGGGTGAGCGCTGCATCGCCTTGCTCGTGCGAGTACGAGGTCACGCTGTTGAGAGATTCCGAACGCTTCAACGCCATGGCGATGTTTTGCAAACGGAGCTGTTGCCAAAACGCACAATCAACACGCACGGTCGAGTGAGGAAGTTGCTCATCACCAAGAAGGTCAAGGCCCAGAGCATCAAGTAACTCCACAAAGGTGACTCGCAGATTCACATGGAATGTGTGGCAGTGCAAAAAAAAGAAAAAAAAGATGGCTCCAGCACAGTGAGCATCTCACCTATTGACGGCGGCGTAAATTCGATCACAGTCAAGCGCGCTCCAATCAAGCCAATAGAGTTGCCTTGAAGTCCACGTGCACAGCTGCCAAAGCACCAGTCAAGTAGCACACACACTGCCCGCCCAACGCAGAGATGATGATGACGATGACGATGACGATGAAGCCCTGCGAGAGAGAGAGAGAGAGAGAAAATGCCGCCACTTGTTCATCTACTCCTTATGATCATCATAATAATAAATAACTGTTGGTTTTGTTTGGTGGTGGTCCAGCCCGGCTATAATAAGAGGTTTCTCATATGGAATACCATCAATTTTGAACAGTGTGATCTGCACATGAATCCCCCAGGCCATCCATCCATCCATCGCCTGCCCGATTGCCAGCCCGACCGGCTGCCCTTTCTCCCCCCTCCTCCCCTAGTGCTCCTCCTGCCCTAATTCAGTCGCGATTGCCATTGCGCCAATAAAGTATAATATAATCACACTTTGGATATATTAAAGTGTAGCGAACAACACACTATAGATGGAGGTGATTGCTTGCACATCACGCATGCCTGCGTTGCAAGGCAAACCCCTTGCCATGCTCTCATGCTCGGCAAGGTTAGCGTGCCAATGTGCAGGCACACCACATTCATCTCACTGGGTTCGCTTACTGTAAAGGATGAATATGGTCACTGAATTCGTGTATATTCACTGACATCGTCGAAATCTTTTTTTTTGAAATTTTTTTTTTCCGAGAGAGCGGCGCCTGGATCGATCGCACGCGCAATACAGAGGTGGCAGGCACGGTAGCAGGAGCGCATGCACCCTTGGGGACACGAGGAAAAGATAAGGCGTGATTCGAGAAGAACAAAGTCCAAGCTGAATGTCAAGGCTTGGCTGTCATTTATCTTGTACCGATTGCAGGCAGTGCTTGTTTGATTTGATCTGAGCGCAACATCGCCGCCAGCATGACGATCATGAACGCAACCGCGTCAGATGGCCCAGGCGTCTCACACGCAGTCCCCAAGCGGGCTGCCCACGGCGCGGGGGCAAATCCGCCACTGCGGCTCTGGCCCAGCACCCCTCTTTGGACTGATCGATTCCAGGCACTTCTTGCCGCCCGTGAAGCTCGGGCGAGCTCCCGCGGCCCCGCGAAAATGGCAAGCCTCAGCATGGCTGAGCATTTGCCAAAGCCGGAATCGCGTCGTAACGCTGCTCCTGCTCCTGCTTCTGCCTCAGCACAACTGAACCAAGCTTGGGCAACCGTACCGCGCCTCATCTCCTTTGACCAACTGTCAGCCCCAGAGCTCCCCGTTACACCGGTGCGCCGCTCTCCCACTCGACCACGCCGCCGGCGCTTGCAGCGGCCTCGATCGCAACCCATCGAAGGCATTTTACCCCTCGAGGCACCGCGGCCCGCACCGGCGCCCATGGGTAGCCTCCTGCCTAACGAGCCGGGCCTCGACTCTCAGCGCCGACTTCGCGCACTCCACGAGCAGTTGCGTCAGCATCAACAGCTATTGCAGCCACCGCCGCCAGCGCTACCCGGAGGCAACGCGAGCGATGCCAGCGGATCGGAACCTTCCTCGCCCTACGAGACAAATTCTGCTGAAAGCACACCCCGCTTTAGTCTCGCTTGCAGTGACCCTGGTGATATTGCCACGCCCACCGCGACCTCGACCCACGCCGTTTCTGCCCCAAACCTCCAAAACCTGGCCGTGTCCACCGAATCAGCTACCCCTCTCTCGCCAGAGGTACCCAGACGTCGAGGCTCGCGCTCTCTGCGATTGCGACGACGCAATAGCAATAGATTGAGTGAAAAGAAACGCGGCAGTGGTGACACCAACCTCACTGCTGCACCCCCAGACCACAGCCTTGCCACCAGCAGCCTTGCCACGTCTGTCAGCCACTCGTCCGCACATTCCGCGGCCAGCCCCACCCTTGCTCCTCGAGGCTCGTTTGAATATCATCCACATGCCCGCACAGAGCCTGGCGTGGAGACGCCGTTCTCACTTGTAAGCTAGACGCGCGTTGGGCCTTTGTGGACGGCACATAATGTCGCTCGCGGCGACATCCTGATTGGGAATCTCACGACCACCCAAACCCGCCTTAGATCATGGTGAAAAAACCCCAAATCAGCGGCAACACGGTCTTTGGACACGTGGTTTACCAGTGCCACGGCGTCCTTGCCGCTGATGTTCGTCCTGAGCGCATCGACCGCTCGTGCTAACCGCCCTGTGCCATTCTGACGGCTGGTACAACGCTTCGCAGTCACTTATCTTTGCATGTAAATTTGGTTCGCCTTGTGCTCGTGCAGGAGGGAAGCTATACCGTTCTCAAGCGCTATACAGCCTTTCTCGAGCTACGACGTGCCATCGTGCATGATCACCCCGAGGTAGCGTGGCACACCGTCCATCAAAATTGCTCGCTCTTTTCACAATTACAAATCATGGTCAATCGCCTTGTTCAACCTCGCAGACCCAGGCTTGGTTGCCCCTGCTACCGGAGAAAAAGCTCTTGGGCAAATACCAACCTCAGATTTTGCAGAGCCGCACTCAGGGCCTCAACGCATTTCTCCACGTTTTGCGCGAAAAGCAACGGGATCTCCCCATTCTCAGTCGTTACCTTCATCGTTTTTTTGCTGCCTAAGTAAGCTCCCCGCTACACGACTCGGTCTGACTCAGCTCCTGTCTGGCGCAACACACGGACATGCGCAAACAAGTTGATAAGGGGGCTCATACCAAAGCCTTGTCATGTCTTGTCAAATTAAAGATTATCAGAGGAGCGAGCAGCGAGTCGAATTTACTCGCAGACAGTGACGGGACACGGCTATGAAATGCTCTCTTTGGAGCGCACAAATAGGCACTTGTAGGCATACAAAACAAAACAACGCAGTCGCACAACAACATTATGATACTGGATGTGTTATGACCTCAAAATAAAACTGATTTCAAAAGCCATCTATGAGTAGCCCGCCGCCCTTGAAGTTGAGCATCCTGCCACACATAGTCATATCACATTTCCTGAAGTGGCACAAAACTCGCAGCCCGCCTATAATTTTGAGGCCCCGGACAGCTGAGCAGCCGTGACACCATGGGCCTTGGCGAAGCGCCTCAGCTCAGCCGCTGCAATCGACACCAAATGCACCTCGTCGGGACCATCCGCAATGCGTAGCGTGCGGGCACCTGCGTACATGAGTGCCAGTGGTAGATCTGCGCTGACGCCCGCACCTCCATGGACTTGAATGGCGCGATCCAACACGGCCTGAGCCATGCGAGCCACGGTCACCTTGGCCGTCGCCACGTGGGTGCGTGCTGCCTTATTGCCGTCTTGGTCAATGACATGGGCCGCTTGTAAAACGAGCAAGCGACTTGCATCGATTTCCATCCGCGACAGAGCCACGTATTCCTGCGTCACCGGCACACAGCCCGGCCGTATGTCAGTTGCAAATTATAAACCCAATCCTCTCAAGCCTGGAGGCAGGCACAACTCACCTGAATCATCCCATGACGTGCCAGTGGTCGTCCAAAAGTCTGGCGCGTCAAGGCTCGCCCCAACATGAGCTCAAATGCACGCTCGGCCATGCCAATGGCTCGCATGCAGTGATGCAAGCGCCCAGGTCCCAAGCTATCAAGCAATGCGTCAGTGTGAGCAGCAGACCCGGCCACTCTCTCAGAGCCGCGCTCCGAAACAGATTGGCGATAAGAGGCACAATCCACAGGCCCAATATCCGGAGCAAGACGTACCGCCCCTGGGCAATTTCGAAGCCACGGCCTTCGCCCAGCAAGATGTTGCTGGCGGGAACACGAACGTTGTCAAACACCACCTCAAAGTGGCCATGTGGTGCGTCGTCATAACCAAAATGTGTCAGTGGTCGTATTTTACGCACACCCGGTGTGTCCATGGGAACTAGGATCATAGAGTGCTGCTGATGCCTGTGATCGTTGATCCACAACCCCCAACAAAGCCACAGTCACGCAGGCACAAAAAAAAAAAAAAAAAAAAAAAAAAAAAAAAAAAAAAAAAAAAAAACACAGACACAGACACAGACACAGACACAGACACAGACACAGACACAGACGCAGACACAGACACAGACACAGACACAGACACAGACACAGACACAGACACAGACACAGACACAGACACAGACACAGACAGGAGAAGGAGGCAGGGAATCAAGCGGTGGAGGGAACACAATATGAAAAAGGCAGAGAGCAAAATACACTGTGAGCTTGAAGCTGACAAAAGGCGCCTGAGTTGCCCCCCTCCCCCTTTCACCTTGCGCAAATGATCCCGAATAATTTTCTCCGGCCACACAAGGCGAAAATGCAAACCTACTTTGGGCGCTGCGGGTCGGGGGTCTGACCCATGACAATGGCCAAGCGACACCTGGCCAGAGACATCAGCACATACGAGCAGAGCAGACCGGTATGAGTTTGGCCGAGCAGTCTTCTTGGTCCAAACAGACCAAGGCTGAGCCAGAGCGAGCAAATGTTCAAAGCAAAGTCACACACCGTGGATCACCAGCACCCGTCGCCCACCATTTGCGGCCATTGATGCGATAGCCGTCACCATCACGCGAGATGGAACACGCCATGTTGGTGGCATCGGAGGAGGCAACGTCTGGTTCGGTCATGCAAAAGCATGAGCGGATTTCTCCGGCCAGCAGGGGCTTGAGCCACTGCTCCTGCTGAGCTGGCGTGCCGTAAAGATGCAACACTTCCATGTTTCCCGTGTCTGGTGCCGAGCAATTACATGCCTCGGCCGCCAAGAGCGAGCGCCCCGTGATTTCGGCCAGGGCAGCATATTCCAGCTGCGTGAGTCCAGAGATCGCTGGTAAGAACAAGTTGAAGAGACCACGCCGCCGCGCCTCGGCTTTGAGATGTTCCACCACCGGTGGGACTGCGGCCCAAGGGTCAGCCTGGGCGTGTAATTGTGCTGCCCAAACTGCTTCGGAAGGATACACCTCCTCTTCCATAAAACGCAAGAGGGTTTCGCGCAGCTTGGCAGCTTTAGAAGAGAGCTGGACTAGACGTAAGGCCGGAGGCAGCTGAGTAGCATGCTTAGGAGCCTGGTCTCCATGCGCCTGGCCCTGTGTCATGACGTGAAGGCCAACTTCAGCAAGCCGCTCAGCCACCTTCCGGAGCTCGCTAGCATTTGCTGCCGAAGCGTTGCCCTGGCGCGAGCGAGCAAAAACGCCTTGGGCAATGGAAGCGAGACGCAAGCAGCCCAGGCCGAGGTATTGTGCCCACGTCTGGGGATTCACGGCTGCCGAGCCATACTGCATGCGCACGTCTCCTTCAGTGGGCAGGCCTGCCACAGTGGAGGCTCGCAGACCGGGCAGCTCGACATCGCCAATGGTGATGGAGTCCAGGTGAAAAGGCAAGCAAAAGTATGTCAAGTCAGCAAGTGGGTGGCCGATGGCGCAGAGCTCCCAGTCCAAGACTGCAATCACGCGAGGTTCAGTGGGATGGAAGATGACATTGTCGATGCGAAAGTCGCCGTGCGTGAGACAAGTTTGCTCATCGGTTGTGTGTTGCTTGGCGGCCGCTTCGAGCTGTGTGTTGAGCTGCTCCAGAGCTGGCAGCGGCGGTACTGCAGCACGATGCCCCGCAAAAGGGAAAGGAACAAGAGCAGAGCAAAACAGGGTCACAAATAAGGACTTGATAGGTGCCATCATGTATTTGCGTTCTAGCAGATAGGTACAGCACAAGCCCTGGCAGTTTCGTACCGACGGTGCAGGCCAGCTGGTATTGCTTGAACCACACGTGTCGCTGGCGGCCAAAATAAGAGCCCCTCTTGCGCATGGTATCTGGCAGATCCATCTGGGCAACGTCCAAGCTGTGCAATTTTCTGGGCGGGCCAGGCAGCAAAAGTCCAAACATCAGTGGGCCCAGTTTGCTGCATATTGCGCCACCAGCCGAGCTCTCGACCAACAAGAAGCAGCGCGACGCGAGCACATCTAGCTCACTTGAGGGTGGCGACGACAGCATCGTAGTAGAGGCGGCGCTGAGGCTCGGGCAGGGACTTGAGTTCGGGATCGCGGAAGATGCGGCCTTGCACGTAACGCATCACATAAAAGGGGGTTCCGATGACGCGATCATCATCAGAGAGCAGCAAAGGCTCTGGAACGGGAAAGCCCTGCTGATAGAGCGCCCGAAGCACGGCATATTCGCGCTCAACTTGATGGGCCTTGGGTAGCAAAATGCCCGGTGGCTGACGGAAAGAAGAGCCGGTGCCAAAAGACAGGAAAGGATGATTGAGTCAAGCGCAGTGGCCAGCAGCGAGCGTGCGCTTTCCATGCCAAAGAGGACGGGGACTACCTTCTTGCGGACAACGAGCTGGGGGCCTTGATCAGGCCAGGCCAACCAAAAAGTGGGGTTGCTCTGACCATTATTAAACTGACGCACGGTCACACCACCGCCCTTGACAGCCGGCAACCAACTCAACCGCGAGCAGAGAAAGCCAAGCAGGCCATCCACATCGAATCGGTGCGCCTTACGGATCTCACCCGCCTCGATCGCGCTCGCCATGCTTCACAATCATGAAAATCTCTCTCTCTCTCTCTCTCTCTCTCTCTTTCACAAAAAACTTACTGCATCCAAATGTTAGAAAACAACAACAACAACAAACAAACAAACAAAAAAAAAAAAAACAGTCTAAGTGATCAAGTGATCGACGTTGTAGAGAGGGAGAGAGAGAGGGGGGAGAGAGAGGGAGAGAGAGAGAGGGAGGGAGAGAGGGGGGAGAGAGAGGGAGAGAGAGGGAGTGTGTGAATTGTTGAGGGGAGGCTAGAACAGGATATAGGGGGAATGAATTCTCAACACAAGTCCCCAAACGCATTGTCGGTACACCGAATAGTAGACACACAGAAGAGAAAAGCTCAGTACAACTTCAGAGTGGCAAACAGCCGTTCCCATGCAGAATGGCGGAGAACAACAAAAAAAACAAAACCAAAACTAAGAAAGGAAAGCAAAGTCTGGCAGAGGCAGCAATCACCGCTGTCGCATAAGAACAACAACATCAACAACAACAACAAAAAGAGGATACCGTCAAAACACGCGCCAATCCTACAACGGGCGCTCGCAACAGGAAGGCACTCAAAGAAAGAAGAAAGAAAAAGGTGGCCGCAAAAGAAGAGTAGGAAGAAAGTGTCGAGAGACGCACGGGCCAAGCGAGGCGCCAAGTGGCTCACAGGCCATGCAAACCAAGAACAGACACAAGAGAACAAAACTTTTCAAGCAAACTTTAGGGTGTCGTGGCGTATATAATATCTGCTGACGGCGCGAAACGGCAAAGGAAGCTCATGCTTCATGACTTGGCATTCTTCGGGACCGGAGTTGAGGGCAGGCTACGCTTGCGCTCCGGCTACATCAAGAAGAGGCAGGAGGCCAGTCAGCATGAGAAATGTCAGTCACGCCAAAGAGTAAGAACCAATGATGAATGACACGGGCGTTTTTTCTTTCTTTCGATGCACGGACCTTTTTGACACCGCTACCGGGTGTTGAGGAATTGGAACCGTTGGACTTGGCGGTGGCGGGCGAAGCAGCGGTACCAGCTGCATCATCAGCCGCAATGGCAGCGGGTTTGCTGAGGTCGTCGGTGCTTGAATCTTGTTCCAGCAAGGCAAAGGTCTTGAGCTCATCGGACGCCGATGCGGCCACAGGGCTTGAAGCTTGTGGATCAGCGCGCGTATGAATGTGGCGGACAGCATTGGTACTTCGCGGGCTCAATGGAATGTCGATCGCCGGCTTGGTGGGTGTCATGGACATGGTCTGCAGATCATATGAAGCACTCAGCTGCTCGCAGGTTGCAATGGATGATGAGCAAATGACAATTCACCAGAGGGAAATGGAAGCACAATGCACGCCCGTTCAAAAAGTACAATCGGCGGCCACAGAGAGCACCAAGAATCCAGGATAGCGAGCAAAGCGAGCAAAGACCGCACCTCTTCGTCTGAATCTGTATCAAGCTCCTTATCTTCGCTGTTATCTCCTTCGTCCTCATCCACAGGTTCGTTGGAAGCACCGCGAGCCAAGCCATCCATGGGCACAGACTTGACGGTCCAGCCGGCCTCCTCATCGACATCTGCATCCGCCATATCCTCTTCATCCTCATCCTCATCCTCGCTACTGTCGCTCAGGGGCAGCCCTCCACCAGTGGCCACAGCAGAGGGCGTACGTACACCCGATTCTGACTCTGATGCAGAGCTATCCAAATCAGCTGCTGCGGGGGCTGAAGCATCACCCGAATCATTGGTTGAGCTGGCAACGGCCTCGTTGACAATGGGCACGGACATGGACGTATCCAATGCGTCCGGAGCGGGTTCATCGTACGCAGGCTCCTGGACCGAGCTGATACCGTCCACCACAAACGGGGCAAGGTCGGTGTCATACACGAGGCCCGGGCTGAAGATGCCATCCATGCCATAGTTGAGAGCTATGTCCTCTTCGCTCTCTTCGGTGCCGTGGGCAGCGGGTCGGAAGTCGGGGAACTTGGGCGCCAGCTCGGCGGTACAAAAGTCCTGAAATGCCGCGCTATTGTCGGCGGCGTTGTCGCTGACATCGCCGGTGCCGGCGACTCGCATGTAGTCCTCGGCAGAGCGGGGGACGTAAAAGTCGCTGTCATCCGAGTCTGCAAATCCTTGGGGTGGAGCACCACCCAGCGGCTCCTTGGCGACTTTCAACAGGGGACGAATGTGCTGATCCACGAGGGCACGCCAGCTGGACGCAACGCCCGCAACGACGTCTGAATCACCAAAGAGTGTCAGAGGGTCGCGTGGGGAGCCTTCCAGTGCCAAGATGCGATCCGCAATTTTGAGCCAATAGCCCATGTAGCCAAGGCGGTGGCCCTTGCCTTCTGATTGCACGCGGTTGTTCTCTGCCCACAGATCCAAAAGACGCTGGAAGAGGTTGTAGTCCACAAAAACGTGACGATACAGGTCGTTGACGGCTTCGGCCGCAGCAGGGTCGTCATCTGTCGGTACAAGCTCGGAGTCATCATCTTCATCCTTCCTGCCAGCTGCGGCATTGTCGGGGTCTGGAATAGCCAGGCTCAACATGTCAAAGATATACTTGTGCATAAAGTTGTTCTCCGGATAATCGCCGAGGAATGCCTACATGGGCGCATCAAGCAGTTCATGTATTATGAGTCAACATCCCATACACACTTGGAAGAGCCGCAATACTGGCGCTTGCGCTTGTTACAATCGTGCGTGTGGGTACGAGCGTGTTCAAGCGAGTGCGAGTGCGAGTGCAAGGGCGAGGGGAGGAGGCTACTGACTAGACAGACGCCGACGGTACCGGCTTTAATAATTTCCTCAATCATGTCATGATGCCGAAACTCCATCAGGGCCACAACAAGGTGAACGGCCGTCAGTCGCAGCTTGCCCACGGGTTTCTCCAAGACACCGCTGCCGGTTTGCAAGGGTTCCTCGCGCTTGTGCGTGACCACAATGTCATGCAGCTGGCTGAACTTGGGGGCCAAAACGGCCAAAACGCCTTGAACTTCTTGCTTGTGGCGAGCCCGATCGATGGAGGAGAACTCTTGGTCATCGTCCACAATTGGGGGCTCACGCACCAGCTCCAGCAACACCTCGAGGCTATATTCGAGGGAGAGCGATGTGCCTTCAAAGCAGTCTTTGAGAATTTGCTCCACCGTGTCCTGGCGCAGCAGAAACGCCAACAAGGGGCTGGGTGGCGAGTCACCAGCACGCTGCCATTGGTCAGAGGCTTCGCGGCGACAGTTGATCACAACCTCCGAGATGTAGCGATGCACGTTGCTAAGTTCTTCGGCATCTTGCTGCTCAGCTGGTGCCAGCTTTGAGAGAATGTCTTCGACAAAGTGGTGCTCGTTGGAGGTGAGCCAATCCTGCAGATTCATCTCACTCCCAGAGATGCAGACGAGTAATTCCTGTTGAGCAGCCGGGGCAAGGTACGCCGCCAAAGGGTGACACATGGACATGGTGAGCGAGAGTGAGATGGGACATGGAGACATGCAACTTTGATCACAATTGGAAGGGCAACCGGCACGGCAGGGATTCATGGGCACACGAACCACAACAGCCGGTGTTCGTATGTGCTTGATGATACTGCGCAGGTGCTGAGGATTCTCCTTCAGATGGGCGGCCATGCTCTCGTTGGACTTTTGAAAGAGGCCGGAGAGCACGCGGACAACAAAGCTGGCATGCAAAGGATGCAGGACTTCATCTTGTTCAAAGTAGGCGTAAAACCTGTTGAGCACAGGCGCTTCGCTGACGGCAGAAGTCATGGACCAGGCGTCGCACGTTAGGACCTCGCTGGCAATGGAGGAATACTTGAAGCGGTTCATCTCATCGGGGTCATCAGGCATGTCCACGACATAGCGGATCAAGCGATCCAGCTGTGCTTCAACAGTCAAGCTGTTGGGTGCACAAGGCAAGGCACAGGTGAGTGACAGATTGAGGTGACGTGACACGGCACAAATCGCTTGTGCCATGACAATGGGCGCAGGGGCATGGCTCAGCTTACTACTTGAGCAGCTTATCATTGCTGGCCTTGCACTCTTGCAATACATCGTCCTGGTCCAAGATTTGTTCAAGCGTGCAAGTTTCCTAGGTCGGGATGGTCGGGCACGAGTTGGCTATTATTATGAACATTGACGTTTTTGTGACCGACCGCGCGTTTCCAGCCCTTGTTCAAGACCCACCTCGTCCAGGATCTTGTCGATCTGCGACGTGCTATTAAAGTCAAACTCCCAGAACATGGTGATGATGGAGGCGAGGTAAAGGGCTACCCGGAAGAGCTTTGATGTACGAATGGGCCCTGGCCGCTGCCGCGCTGAGGCTCACAGCACTCCCCTTGAATCTTGAAGCAGGAAATGGCTCAAAAAAAACGTCTAAGAATGCCAATGAAATAGCGGAGGGTGAAGGTCAGCCATAGACAACATCCTCATTCTTCTCTGCAAAAGCCATGTTGGGTCCTCAGCAGCTAGACGAGCGGAGCAGAAAAAAAAAAAGAAACACAAGATGGAGAGAAGAGAAAAAAAAAAAAAAAAAAAAAAGAAAAAGAAAAAGAGAAAAAAAAAAAACCACAGCACGATCCAAGCCAACACCACAGGCGTCCTCGTCTTGTAGCCGTAGTGACGATGGCAATGCCAGTCCCAAAGTTGAAATGATGCCAGGGGTGCCGCCATCTCGCAGCGTCCGCGGCCCTCCTCTCTCTTGTCTCTTTCGTTTGCGTTGTAGCTGCATCCTGGGGTTGACATGGGGAAATTAAACTAACCAAATCAACGACAAGCCTGATCGGTGACACCAGCTTGAAAGATCCTTTGGTTCACAGCCACAAAAAAAAAAGGCCGGTTGGAAACTGCAGCAGCCGCCTGAGCATTGCAAAAAATCACCAGCAAGCGTGAGCCCTCAAGCAAACTCGCGTGCAGGCCTTTACACATGTCCTGTCAAAAGAAAGTCTCGGGTACGAGATGCGACTGCCATCCAAAAGGCGTCTCAAGACGCTTTGTATTGCGCATCACTCAGGCAGGAACAAGCAAATGCAAAAATATGGACAGGGAACCCTTGAAAACACATGCACCCAGGCGCAAGACCACCAGACGGGAATCGGCGCAGGGTCAACAGGGGCGCAGAAAGATGAAAAGCGAGGGCAAGAAAGGACGCCAGTCAAGCCAGAAGAACTTTAAAGCAGCCATAACCAGACAGCTCCGTGTGTAGACTCATGTCAGGGACGGCAGTAGCAGGGACACCAGAAACAGCAGAAGCAGCCGGAGCAGGGGCAGCAGGAGCAGCCGGATGGACGTACCGCCTTTTCCCCTTGATGTCTCGTCGTGACCGTCGTGGTGTTGAATGGCGGTGGCCACCGAAAACAGAGACTGCCCGAGACTGGTGGAGACTGGGGGAGACTCGGCTGGTGGTCACACTTTCCCTTGGTGCTACCACATGTACATCATTGGCTTAAATTTTAAAAACAACAAGCGCATGGTTTGTCTGACAATTTGGCGTCGAATGAATTGGCGCGCGTGATTCGCGACCGCGCACGTTCAGCCAGATCAGGCGCATCAAAAGAAAGGTCATGGTGTGGCCTTGGAAAGCCGTGCGCCATGGGCGTTATGTTTAAATGTGAGCACTACAAAAGAAGAGTCAAGGGGTACGCTGAACACGGATCATGTACACCTTCGTAATCTATAACAGTTTGTGGGATGCCACCAGCTGGCTCGGCTCAAGATTTGAATGGCCCAAAATTTGCATCCGGGCCTCACAGCGAGAAATTGCACCAGCAGGTCAAATCAAGGTTCTTCTTATTGTTCAGTTGGCGTCGAGGTCAGGAGCTCGGGCATCTTGTTCGCCGGCAGGTAGGTGTCCTTGCCAGGGAAGCCAGCGCCTGTTTGAAGCTTTTTACTGTACCAATCATACCAGGCCACAAAATTATCCACGCCGTCTTGAGTAGCCACGCGTGGCGCATAACCCAGCTTACGCATGGCATGGGAGGTGTTGGCAAAGGTCACCATCAGCTCGGCGTCATGAGCTGGCATATCATGTCGATCAGCCTTTTTCTGGAGTGCCGATTCAACCATTTCAATAAACTGGGGCACGGAAACGGGTTCGCCGCGACCAATATTGAAGACGTCATAGGGTGCCGCATGCTTCATGGCGCGCATAAAACCATCCACAATGTCATCCACGTGGGTAAAGTCACGGCGCATCTCCTCATTATTGGCGGTATGGTAGACATCGATGGGCAAGCCCCGAGAAATGCGATCTGTGGCACGTGTGTCGAATCATAGCAAGCGTGAGACACGCACACAGGCTCCAATTCAGAATGCGTGACAATGTGTGTGTGTGTGTGTGTGTGTGTGTGTGTGTGTGTGCGGGCGAATGACGGCCATGCTGCGGCACCAGTGACAATGGGCATGGTGCGCAGGCCACCAGCCTGGACCCTTAAAAATGAGCCAAAAAGTCCTACCGGTGAAGATGTAAGGCGCCATGTCCGGGCGGCCAAAAGGGCCAAACACGGTAAAGAAGCGAAGACCGGTGGCCTTGACGCCGTAAAGATGATTGTAGGCATGTGCCAGAAGCTCATTCATGCGCTTGGTGGCACCATACACGTTGGTGGGCCGGTCCGAGCACTCATCCTCGGTGAAGGGAATGCTAGCCCCCTTTCCATAGACAGATGAGCTGCTGGCATAGACCAAAGGCACCTCCGGGGTATGCCGAAGCAGCTCAAGCATGGTGACGAAGCAGTCCACTGCACACGCAAAAAACAAATGAGAGACAGTGAGCCTCGCCCTCGAGGAACCTCGACCTCACATGGAACGGGGGAGCCAAACAGACCGTTGGAGTGAACGTATTGGTGAGGGTGGTTGACGGAATACCGCACCCCGGCTTGTGCAGCAAGGTGACCGATATAATCGAATTTGTAGCGAGCATGGAGCGTTTTGAGCATGCTCTCGTCACAGATGTCGACATTGAGCATTACAACGCCCAAGCGTTCGAGCTTGTGTGCGCGAGCCTCCTTCAGGGTGACGTCGTAGTAGTCGTTGAACGAGTCAATTCCAACCACCACATTGTTAAGTTCCCGAAGACTGGCGGCAAGATGGTAGCCGATGAAGCCTGCCGCACCGGTCACCTGCTCAAGTCACAATGTCGGCGTCAATGAGAGTGGCAAGATGGCGGGGCACGACAGGGGCGCGGAACAAGAACATACGAGGATGGTCGAGTCGGAGGGATATGCGGAAAGGTCCGTAATGTCCATTTGCTTGAGATAAGCTACACCCAAATGCCGAAGGAAAGGCAGTGAATCAGGATATCTTGGACAGTGCAATGGGCATGCAGGAAAAAAAAAAAAGAGACAAGACGGGTCCGGTGGGGACAAAGGGCAAGCACGACGTATGCAAAAGTTGCACTCGCCGGTACCTTCTCTCCAGATCAGACACAAGAATACCCCCCATGGAATGGTAGCATGACCAACCTGAGCTCACCGCCACCAGGGCTGATAGCACGGCAATACATCTCATGCTGGCGTGGCGTTTCAGAAAAGGGCTGCGTGCGAGGGGAGCAGGGGGCGCACGAACACGCGGCGGCCAAGCTCGAGCTTTCAGCTCCGCGACGATATACCCCAGCACCGGAGACTACGACGTGCTTCAGGCCAACCAGCGCTTATCTCAAACCCAACTGCACCTCCAACTCCCAATGACCTTGAGCTGCCGAGTGACGGCCAAGATCACACACAACACGGGAAAAAAAAAGAATTAACTGGAGAGGCGAAGAGAGAGAGAAGAGAGAGAGAGTTTGAGTGAGAGAGAGAGAGTTTGAGTGAGAGAGAGAAAGTTTGAGAGAGAGAGAGAGAGCTTGAGAGAGAGCTTGAGAGAGAGAGAGAGTTTGAGAGAGAGTTTGAGAGAGAGCGAGCAACAAAGGGAGCATGCACGCGAGGCAACCAGCCAAGACTCGACGTCAGACAGATGACACACGTCCCTTATACACAACGAACCTTTCATCACACTTGAAACGTCTTTGATTAATATAATCAAGCTAAAACATCACACTTAGCTTGATTGTTATCATACCCTTGAGACGGTCTCACATGTAATGATGATGATGTTTGATGAAGCGGAGGAGGCGGCACATAGCACGTTCGGCGACGTGTTAGAGTTCTCCTGCCACCCGTCACTGGCAGGCGCTCGCTGGCTGTAGCACCGGAGCGTCTTGGCGTCCAGCTTCTAGTCTCCCAGCCCGAGCGCTCGGTGTGCTCGTCCGTGCACAGCCCCGCTGGCCCTCTGAACGGCTCCCCTGATTAATGTGTCGTGTTGGCAGCACCACCCAAACCCCAAAAGTAAAATACTAAACCACATATAAAAGTATTTTACTTTTCTCGCATCGGAAGATGGCACAACGACGTCCGATGCCGCCCTGGGCCACTGGCGGGCCCGGGCTTGGTCCAAGACCACCGCTGCCCTCGCACCAGCAGGTACCGCCGCCGCACCAGCAGCAGCCGCAGCAGCGTCAGCCACAGCAACAGCCACCGCCGCCGCATATGCATGCGCGGGGCGGGCATGGTATGCCCTTGCCGCCACATCAACGTCCTTTTTCGGGACCCGCCCCGCCCGGTCATCATGGCATGGGCCCAGCCCATCTCATGCCTCCCAAGCGTCCGCGGTACGTCATGTGCCCGAGCAACCCTGCGGTATTTGCACCGCCAGCACGTGAAATTTGCACCAGCCCATCTGCTGGTCGACAAACCCGATTGTCCATTTAGCAAGGAGCGACAGCACAGTCGAGCCCCGGCCTCTCATCAGAACGGCATGCATGCGTCGTCATAGATTCGATGGTGGAGGTGACCGGCCAGTCCCACCCCGCGAAGGTTATTACCCAAGCAACTTTCCACCCACGGGTGGCGGGCCCCCGCTGCCCTTTACAAGTCCGCACCCGCCCCCAAACTCGCATGCGCATAGTGGTCCGCCACCCCGGCCAGGCCCGACATCACAGGGCCCTGGCCCTGGCCCCAACCCTGGTGGTCGGGCACCCTTGCCTGTTTCTGAAAACTTCCCTCCTCGCTTCGAGCGCCGTGGGCCCCCACCTTCAATGACAACACCGCCCCTGCCCTTTACGCGACCCAAAGCTGGGCGGGAGCCACGTCCAGCTCCATCGGTGCAGGAGCCGGGCATCACATCCGTCCGGCCCACCCGTGACGTCCCGCCCATGGCGACTGCCGATCGTGATCGGTAAATTATTGCTGTTTCCGTCAGTTTTTCATCACACATCTAGCGCATCACGTGACAGCTAACTGAGACGACGCTTTGCCGCACTCGCAGCCCGGACCGAGACGATACCAATCGAGGCGCCCTCCTCAGCTTTCGCCAGTGGGTCATCCAGCGAACAGATGACCGGTTCGTACAGAATTCCTTACTCTCTCTTTTGCTCCTGCATGCTCCCGTTTGGCCGTGCCCTGTTCTTGGGGACCAATAACGTAAAGGTGATGCTACATGGTACGCCCAGGCTGGATGCTGATGCTGCCCCTGGCCTCTTTCGAGCCTACCGATGTGCGGCTGAGAAGCGTGATCTGTTAACCTTCTTTCATGCGTTCAAGGTCAGCTTCTCCTGCTCCTACAAGCTGTCCTCTTTGCAGCTCCAGCTGGCTGACGACGCGACAAGTAGAACTGACGATCAGACCTTGCCATGCCCCAGGATAAGCCGATGCTCCAAGACATCTACTCGCCAAGAGCCGTCAAAGCGCGCCAAGCCATTGTGACTGCTGGACGGGAACAGCGTCTCGAAATATTTTGCGAAGCACTTGAGATGGGCCAACTGGACAACCTTCATCTTGACACTGCCCACGAGGCAGAAGCCATGGCCATCCTGTCAACGTTGCACCAAAGCCTAGACCTGGACCCTGACGGTACGCGCGACAACATTGCCTTCCGTCCACCACGAATGGTTCAAGACTGGGGGCCCACTCACGCCCTTGCACACTACTCTGGGATCCGCGCGTCAATTTCGTTTTAGAGCCTCGACAACCCATACCTCTGTCGAGTGAGGATGCTGCCCGATTTCAGATCCGAGTTGATCGGCGAGCAGCAGCCACTAATACCGGAACTCTCCCTTCAACCACGTCCGAAGCCCAGCCGGCGACCCCAGCATCGTCGACACCCAATACGGCTGCATCCTCCGAGTTTAAGGAGCCAGGCGAGCTGGAAGGCGAAGGCGAAGGCAAAAGCCCAAGCCACAAAGGTGTCGCAGAGCACACATCGGCTGATGTGCCGGCTGATGACGCTTCTACCACAAGCGCGCAGCCCGTGCCCATCGACCCAACACAAACCATCACACTGCATTCGCCCTACGTGCCAGATGAGCAGCACCAGAGCGATATTTTGACTGCCCTGCGCAGCATTCCTGGCTTTCGCCGAGCTCACTTCTCCAAGCCTTCGGACGGCCGTCGCAAGGTTTGTCGAATCTTCTTGCTTGCGCCAGGCCGAGGTCACAGAGATATGCCAAGCTTGCTTTGCTCCTCGTCTTGCGCGCCCTAATGAGCCACTCCTTGCTTCCCTCCATTTGGGCAAAACAGCGAATGGCTTGGGCCACATTCTTTGCTGCGCCAGACGTTCCAACCCATCTCAAGATTGAGGTGACGGGCGCGGGATACATTGAGTTTCGCCAGACTGATGCCACCTATCGCCCCATTCGCAAGGGCACAGTCACTTTGCAGCCCAAACACGACCTTGAGCTGGCACGTTTGCTGGCCCAACACCTCGATCAGCGCGCCTGGAACCGGGCCGTCTGTCCGATTGATGATGCGCATGCGCATGCCTTGAGTCACTACGCTCTCTATCTTCGACTTGTGCACAGCTACGACTTGTATGGGCAGGTTGATTTTTCTGAGGAGCACCTGCGTTGCGATCGCCTGCGGGCCATGACCCTGCCTCTGCCTTGTGCTGAGCCCTCAGATGAGGCCTCAGCCGGGGACGGAATGTCCAGCCCAGATGCGCCAGCCTGGCACCAGACGGTTCGCACTAGCTTGTTGGAGTCTGCGGAGGATACTCGCGCCAGCGAATTGGGCGCTGAATCCCCTGAGCGGGCTCGTGCCAAGCTTAAGGACCAATCCTTTACGCTACTGGACGATAACGTGTGCCAGTGTCGCCTATGCGAGAAAAAGTTTCGTGGTGCCGAGTTTGTGCGCAAGCACCTGGACAACAAACACGCCGCAGCCTTTGATACGGCCGCACATGAAGCGGAGATGTACCGTGCCTACCTCCTGGACAGACATCGGCCCCACTTTCATGTTCGAGAACCCGTGTCCTTGGATCCTGCACCGGCCTACGGTGAGTTTTGCAGACTTCTCTCATCAATTTTCGCGCCGAAACCGAGCAGGGGGAGGGAGGGAGGATATGCTTTGTCAACCAGGTGGACGGCTCCAACATCGGTTGGCCAGATATTGTTCTTGTTTTTCTCACAACCTGGGTGTATGCATTGCCTTGGTGTAGCAAATGTCACGCTTCGCGAGCTGACAGACGCCGCCGGTGCACGCTGATGCCCCGCTACAGGCGAAAAATGGGGAAATCCGAGTTGTCATAAACCAGAGCAGCCTAACATGGATGTGCAATACAAGCAGGAGTACATGCAAAACAGCCGGCATCATTGAGTTGACGTGCGCGAGGCGCAGCAGTTGCGACCATGGGATCTGGTGTTGGTTTGAGATTTTAATCAAGTCTGAGTCAAACGAGCCTCTCACCTTTTCACCCTGAAAGCGCCCGAGCTTGGCAATCTGGCAAACGACCATGTTTGTTTTGCACACTTGCAGCCATTGCTGTACCGTCTATATTTGTGCAGCATTTGCAATGCACGTTCCAGCGCATGCATCCATGCCATGAGAATTGACACGAGCATGTCTGGCAACTCAGCCGTGCGGGCCGCGACAGCAAGGCAGGGGACGCACAGCAGATGTCGGGTAGGGATCGGGCTTTTGCTGATCCAAGATGGCATCAATGGAGGCCATCACACCCTTATAGGTCTTGATCGCTTCATCAAAGAGTTCTGGCACGTCAAGCTTGTCCATGGCCGTCAACTCCTCCGTGTATGTGGTGTAGTAGCCCGGCGGAGGCATTTCCAAAATACCAAAGGGTGCAAAGCGGTGCGAAAACAGGCACTATGCAAACAAAGCCACGCAGAGACAACAAGAATAAGCTTCGCGCGAGCCGAATGGGGTCTGCAAATGTACCACACGAGAGTGGTCATACTTGTTCGTTAATGAAATCTGTGTTGAAGGCATGCAAGCGTCCAGCCTTGCCCGCGGCGTGTAGGATGAGTACACTTGCTCGCGCCAGGCCAAAGATGCAATCATAAACGTGCCATTGCATGGTCGGAGAAACGGCCTGGGCAAACAACAAGAGAGTGTGAGATAGGACCAGGGTCCATGACCCGAGGTAGGTGGACATGTCAAAAAGCTTTAAGCAACCATGTCACCTTGGGTTGATGCTTCTTCTTGCTCTTGCCCTTGCCCTTGGCTTCTGCTTGCACCTGAAGACTGCGAAAGGCCTTGCTGAAGCATTGCGAGGTCCAGCGCGACATGTACTCCATGTACCTAAAAAGCCATTGCCAAGAACATACAAGCACACTCAGTAAGGGCTGAGCATATCGTCGGGCATATCGTGTCGCTGGAGCCAGGGACGCACCAGTAGACCATCTTGAGCTCATGTTGCTGATAGAGATTCAGAAGCAGGCCAGCACGCAAAAAGTCAATGCCCCAGACAGCAGATCGCCACCCGACCCACACCGACAAAGCGTGCGGATCCACCTGAGGGAAGGGGAAAGAAGAGGGCGCATGCGGTGAGAGCATATACTTGTTGCAGAACACCGCCTATGAAACACGAAGCAATGATGCGCTCGTACTAGGTTGGCATCAACGGAGCTGGGCTGATGGTGCCGGCAGGTGGCATCTGTCAAGGTGGCCTGCGGAGAGGCACAAGTCGTGCAACGAGCACGGGTAAGTTGGGCAAGGCGCATGCGTCACAAAGCCCCTTGTTGCCGCCCCCAGCCTTGGGATCACACAAGAGAGCAAAAGGACGTACGCGAGCATACAGAGCTTGCAGCTTAAAAGGGAATCTATGCACGTGAGGGATTGTATGTGAGGTCAGCCCCGTTTACGCTCGGGGCAGCATGGGCAGCGGCGTCGCCGCCGCCAGGGGACAATTGATGGCCCAGCTGGGCAACCTGAGGTACCTACTTGGCAAGGCGGCGATGCTGGCGCCCTCCGTTTTCGCAGCAGAGGTTAATCTTGGCCATGGTTGTTTCGACTGCTTCCGCCAAGAAGGTTTGAACGGCCAGTTGCGCCTCCTCAGACAGGCTATATTGATACCGCCCACAACATGCAGTTTAGAATTCAAAATGGCAGCCATCATCTGTTGTGCATACATGTGGGACAAAAGCGGGAAGGGGGGAACAGGTGATGTCCCAGGAAGGGCGACACAACAACTGACTCTGTCTTATGGACAAGGCACCAGGCGCCATTGAAACTGACGATGGCTTCGTGTACCTACAGAAGAGTCGTTGATGCAAGCTGAGAAACCAAAGGAATTGGGTCCGTCTCCGCCACGCATCGAGTAGCCTACCTGACGACTGAGGTCCAAGCGGCCAAAAAGCTTGCGCTCATCGCTGGGCAGCACGATTTGCCGGATAAACATGCGGGCAAAAAAATTGGCCTGGCGTTGACGAAAGCCTTCGAGACTCAGCATGATATTTGACAGGGTTTCTAAACGCAGGCCCAAGCAATCCAGATTTGAGATGCGTTTGCAGCGCTGGCGGAGCATGACTGTGACAGTTTGTGAGCACATTTGACAGCACATACCGCCTGAAGTCTCAAATTGAGCGACCGTGTCACGAATGACACCAATGTCATTACGTAAACGTTCAAGTCCCTAATCGTTTCAAAGTCGGATGAACAGGGCGCAGGTCAACCACGAGGTAACAGCTGGTCAGATTGGTGCGTTTGCAGACCTGGATTGCCGTGAGTGAGTCGAGCTGGCGTGTGGGGCCGCTGGCTTGAAGGTGCTGAAAAGCATGGTCCTGCCATGGCTGGGCTTTGGGAGCTTGTTGAAAGCCAGAGTCTTGTAGCACATGTTCAAGGTGATTGGCCAGTGTCAAGAGTTCCTTGACCAAATCATCCAGCTTTTGCAGGCATGATTCAAGCACTTTGAGGTCCTGAGTCACGATTCAGGAAAGGTCGAGAAGGCAGGGCATGGGTGAGCACAGGACCCACGCAGAGTTTGATAAGCAATGGAGAAGAAAGCGCGCGCGTAGAACAGCGTGAGAATACGGAGGTGTCGTGAAAGAACAGACCGCAGGTGCATGGATGGTTTCCATCAGGTCCAAGAGCAAGCCAAGCGTGCGTAGGCTACGTGCAACAAGATGCGTGAGACGGGCAGGTGTGGTTCATCCCAAGAGGGCAAACGAGCTCAAAGAGCTGCGCGCACTCACATGAGCAGAAGCAAGCGGCCGTCCGAAGAATCATCAGTCGGGAAGGTTTTGTCCGTTTGACTCGCCAAAGCTCGCAGAAATTGAGCTAAAGAAAGTGCATCATGCGGGCAGCATGATGATAAAGAGAGGAAGGAAAGCTGATGGGCCGTGGGTACTTTGGCGCAGTGTGGTCAAGTACCAACCAGTCGTTTTCTTGCTGATGTGAGCAGCATTGATCCCATGAAGCTGAGGGTTGAAATCTTCCTCCGAGTGAATGCCTGTCTGGCGTGCCTGAGGGCAGGTGACGCAAGGTTCACAATCGCGCTTGAGATGGTGATGACCACGATGAAGAATATAACGACAACGACGACGATGACGTATTGAAAGCGCACGCGCTGCCGTTACAATTGGAACCGCCAGGGAAGACAAGCTTACAGTCTCGACGGTCAGCATGACAAGCCGAACGGCAGCACTGCAGAGGAGCTGTGGAATGTACGATCGAGTTGGTGTTGTCAAACTAGGCCAGATTCTTAGCGAGATAATCGGGTTCAAGGCAGGTTGGGCGCCGACCCACCTTCATCGAGCGATCCTCGAGACACGAAGCATTGACGAGGTACATGCAGTTCATGATGGTGACGGGTAGGGCATTGCCTATGGGTGTTGAAAACCGGCAAACGTGGTTGAGGAGGAAGAGGATTGCGACAGAGCTGGTCGTTCGTGCCAGGAATCAACGGGAGCACCTCGGAGCCAAGCCAGATAGGCTTGAAGGATTCGCGCTGCGATGTAGGTGTATTGACGCGGAGTGAACTCTCCAACGGGAAGGCCAGCCTAAGGAAGCCAGTCCGCACGCAGGAAAAAAGAAAGAGGCAGTCGGAGCCAGTTGGGAGGTCAAATGGCCAAATGTTGCAGTGAAGGAGCAGAGACGCGAGAGGCCCTGGCGCGGCCAGGCGGGAAAGGGGAAGCGCACAGACAGTTCAACCCTTGTGTTGGATTGGGAAACAAACCGATAGTGCGTCCTCGAGGGAGATGCTGCACTCATTTTCGGGAAGAAGCTGGCTGCAGCCGGCATCGGTACGGGGGTCGCCAAGCTCGACCGAGGTCAAAGCTTTGTAAAAAGTGAAGTTGTCGCTGGTTAGCAGCTCGTCAGTGGTCATGTCTATCCAAGGGCAGGCAAGGTGGCGGGACTCCAAATGACGAGGTTGATCCGGGCAACATCAGCAAATTCAGCGCGATGCGGCTCGCGGACCTGCAGTAGCTCGCCGGAGAAGATCCATGATATCCGTAGCATCCGCCTCTGCCAGCGGTGGCTGTGGCAAGTCTGAGGTCGTCGCTGCCATGGTGTCAAGTTGGCCTGGCTATGTTGCGGACGAGCACGGGCACCACGGTGGATGAACACAAGCAGAAAGAGCAGGAAAGCCAGGTGCGGCAAAAGAAGGAAAACAAGAAAGGAAAAAAAAAAAAAAAAGCCCACAACGCCGTGTCCCAGGCAGTCCATCATCCCAGCGGCAACAGCCAGAAACACATGGCTGAGGCTGAGGCTGAGGCTGAGGCTGAGGCTGAGGCTGAGGCGCGCTCACCTCCCAGGAGGGGTCGAGCCCGTGTTCTCGTCCCGGTTCTCGTCGCGCTCGTCCGCGGCCACAATAATCTGACATTTCGACTGCTTGATTTGCTCCATTTGCTCCATTTGCTCCACTTTTTGTCTGACTTTTGAATCTGACATTCCGCTTTGTGTTGTGGTCACATGCTAAAACAATGTTGCTTTGTTCGTACGTGAGGGTATGCTCTCTTTGAGTGATGAGCTGGGGTAGCTCTCTCTAAAGTCCCCTTGGTCAGCGTGTCTCTCTGGTTTCCCGTCTGTTTCTCCCTGTCTCCACAACACACGACGCACACAATCTCTGGTTTTCCATATCTTTCACCCCCTGTCTCTAGCAATTTGCTGCGTGTGGCTCGTACCTCTGACTTTGTTCATTGTTCTCGCGGAGGCAGCAGAGTTTTTTTTGTGGCGCGCGCATCGCGTCAAAGAGCCGTTTGGGTCGCAAGACGCATTGTGGTGTTTGGAACTCGGGTCAGAAGGAGAAGCTGCTTGACAATGGCGATGGCACAGGGTGAGGATGTGAATGCGGCGTCCTCGTCGGCGCTGCTGAATGATCCCAAGACCATGGACCAGCTCTACTCGATGCTCGATGATGAGGAGGAGGCCAACGTGGCCCCGGGATCGGAGGAGAAGGCCAAGGCCTCCTTGAGTCGGGACCTCTCGGGTGCGAATAACCAACGACGCAAGCTGTCGCTTCCCAAGCTCGGCCGCAAGGCGCAGGCTGATCTGGAAACGCTACCCTGAACCAAATCATGGTCAAGCTTTTGACTTGATGGCCATCCATCTGGCGCATGCCATGTCCGTTGTTCTGATGTTGAGCGCTTGCTGCTCTTCAGCTTGTGTGTGTTCTATTTGAGCCCGTGTCTTGATTGCCCTGTCTCCATTATCTTTTTATCTTGCCCGTGGTTTGTAAGGGCATGCATGTGTTTGAAGCCGTGGTCACCACCCTGCCTTGCTGGCGGTATGTGGCATTGGCGTTTTAACTGATACTTCAGCTTTGTTTTTGTTTTGAAAGGGTTTGTTTGCTGTGCTCTGTGGCCTCTGGATTCCGGTCCCTTTGCTGCGGCTTCTGAAGGCACACACTGAGAGCCAGTTTTGCTTTTGACATGACATGACTCTTTTTCTTTTCTTTTTTTAGTTTTTAGCGTGATTGACGCGTGCATCCTGCTCGCGTCCGACAAGCCGTTACTTGGCCACTCACTCTGTGTGGCTGTGAATCCCATTTGAGCCCCCTTGGCACGATTTTCATCAGCTCTTCTTACTTTTGTTTTTTCCACAGAGATGGATTCTTCTCGCCCATGGCCACTCTGCCAATTGATACCGAAACCGAAACAGTCATGGCCGCCATTTGCGAAGGAGCTCCCCGCCTCTCCCTCCTCCCAGCACCAGTAACAACACAACATTCCATTCCAGCAGAGAGAGGAGATGGACAGCTCACTGCTTTCGCAAATCCATGTTGATAGCCAAAAGTTTTACTTCTGTGAACTTGCCAGCACTGAAACAACAAACAGAACCGCTTCATCCACATCGTGAAAACACCCCTCGGCTCTTAAATACTACAGCCCGGCCTTCCAAGGCGTTTTAGCTTGAAAATCTCACTGGTTTCGCCACATCATACTTTTAGTGTATAATTCTTACCGCTGAATACATAACTTCTTCTCACTCCTTCCTACCCACGTTTGCGCAGCGAGAGAGATAAAACCGGACAAAGTTGTCGCAGCTTCAGAGAGAGAGAGAGCGAGAGAGCGAGAGAGCGAGCACGCGGTCGTTTGGTCACTTGTTCTCTTTTCAAGCTGAAGCTGCGACGTGTGCTCATCTGTCTGGGCTGTGGGGTCGGATCGTCCTCTTCCCTCCTCCTCGCCTCGCCTCTCCTCTCCTCTCTCTTCGCTCTTTATCTCTCTGAATAGGTGCGTGTCGTGACTTGTGGATAAGTGGGCAAGGATAGCGCGTGAGCTCTCGAATATGCTCAACGTGGTCGATTCATCATCCATCATTTGTCAATGCAACAGACCGTCGGCATGGGGGCCTTCAACCTCGGCAGCAAGAAAAAGTCGGAGCAAGTCCGCCAGGAGCGTCGTCAGCGCACCCGTGTCATGAAGCGCCAACAGCAGGCTGCCAAGGCCAAGGCCGAGGTATGTCTTTATCCTGGCACGCTGCCCTCACTGTGCAAGTTTTCCCGCGCCTTTTCTGTGCCGTCATCCTCATTTTCTGTTTTGCACATGACGACGTGCTTGGTCCAGCCGAACGATGCAACGCTGGCCCAGCAAAACCGCAGCAACCCCAAAAGCCACGCGCGCACTTCCAACAAGCGTGCGCGCAAAATGAAGACCCGCACCATCAACGAGCTGCGCGCTCATGGTGCCGAGGTTATCCGTGAAGGTGAGCTCAGCCTGGCTTGCTCGAGTCGAACAAGCTTTGCATCAAGGATTGTTCTGCTCACCCGCCTTTTTGCTGTTGGAAGACAAGGACAAGGGTGCCATCGTCATGGCTCGCAATACTCGTGACCAACGCATCGTGTGGGCTGAGACTATCCGCGCCATCGATGAGCGCCAACCTTTTGCCCGCCCCGGTGGCACCACCCTGGGAGGTTTGTTTGTGATCTCGCATCGACACGTCTGCGCCTGCTCGCCTGTCCAGCCTGCCAGCCCAAAGCTCATGCCTTTGGCCCGTGTACTTTAACCCACTAGCTCCCACCACATTCACATCGGCCTGAACTATATTGAGCTTCAAGCACTCCCAAAATGTCAACCCATAAGCCAAGGCGCAACATTCATTTGCCGCACATGGTGCAATCGGTTGGACCAAGAGTCCCAACCATGCAAGGGAGATAAAAGTGTGTTTTGTTGTTATGGATCGAGATCTCATGAGAGCCGTGCTCTGCTTGTCTCCATCTCTGCTCCTCCATCGTCTTTGAATCTTTTCGTTCTCTACTCTTTTAAACCCCGTCTCGCTTCGCTCAAAAGCTCTATTTCTCGTCTCTGCTGGACCGAGGCCATGGGGGCCTGTTGCCAGCTGACACTTGGTGAGACCAAAATGTGCTGTCGTGCCCGCGCGGTTTGTTTTGTCAATCATAGCATACGTGAATTTACAAAGGTGTCTTTCAAACCACCATCACGGCGGCGTTTCACAAACAAGTCTTCCGTTCATACACACGCACGCACACAAGTTGAACGATGAAACATACAATCTGTCTCTGGTCTTCTTGACTATCGATCGGCTAACAACAACAACAACAACCATCTCAGGGCAAAGACGCACTGAAGGCTCCACTCATGCTCAAGCCCTCGCATCGAGGAGACTTGACCTTTTTCTACACTCTCGCCTCAAACAAACCACATGTACAAAAATTAAAACCCTCAAATCAACCAAGCGCTCGTCTGCACACACGCGCACGCACTCAATCAGCTCACTCAAACACACACCCAAAAAAAGCAGGCTTGCAATATTATTACTAAACGCGTCGGAACTACCAAACCCAAAATAAACCCCCCTTCGCCCTCAAAAATTAAAAGAAAAAGAACGAAGTCAAAAAGGATGAAGGGTCAATCTCAGTTTCATCCAATCCCCACATTCCTCAAGAGCACGCTGAGGTCAGAACGAGCAGGAGGCCTTGCGTTGCATTCGATCTGCCGTGCGCGAGCCTTTCTTCAAATGCTCCAAGGCCCTACAAACACCACGGAGATTGCAGAAATTGAGCGGGAGGAGCACAAACACAAACGGGACGTCGAGCTTTGAATGCCGCATCTCAAACTTACTGCTGCATCAGCTGATTACGCGAGCGTTCAGCCCGGAGCTCTGCCTGTAGACGGGCCGTGTCCGTCTCCAATCCTTCCTCCTGCAAGAGGGCAGGGTGCTGGAGAACCATCGTGATGGTGGGTCGCGCAGCTGGGTCTGGGTTGAGCATGGCCCACAGTAGCTCGTTGAGCTGTGCCGACAGGTGAGGCACGGGCTCGACTCGTCCCGACCGCAGATGCTGCCATTGAGGTCCATTGTTCTCCAGCTCAAAACCCGTCGCGGCTTCATAGGCTGAGACGCCCAGAGAAAAGACGTCGGCCTTGTACAGGTCACGATGATCATCCTGCAGCAATTCCTGCACCACGCACCAACCAAAAACACATCGTCAAGCAACCCAAACCAGTCAGCGGCGATCAGAACAGCAGAGTTATCAAAGTATGATAAAACAAATGTAAAGAAATAAAAAATTGGACTAAGAGACACAAGGGGAGATGGACGTACCGGCGCCAAGTAGCGGCAGTCGCCTTCTTCAACGTGAGGATCCGACACTCGGGTGACCATGCCCAAATCACCCAGCTTGAAGATGGTGTGTGTTAAAATGGGCTAAGGTCAAACAGGGCAAATCAAGCGCCGAGAAAAAAGCATGAGACAGATGAGGGGGAGTTGCACAATGGTTGCACGCTGGTTGCACGCTGGTCGCCAATTCGATTCAATCGTACCAAGCCCATGGGTGTCTTGAGATTAGGGCGCTGGCCTTCAGGGAAAGCGCTCTCATCCACTTTGAGAAAAATATTGGCGGGCTTGACATCCAAGTGAACGAGCTTACTGCGATGCAGGGATTGCAGCCCCCGACTCTAGCAATGATGGAGAGGAAGCCGCCAGGGATGAGCATGACACAAGATGGGAATGAGTTCAACAAGGACGCCAAATCTGTAACATGCGAGCCTTGCAGGCGACGCAGAACGACAACACGGAACCATGGAAAGAAACACGTACAATGTGTCGGAGCATTTTGCAGAGGTCTTCCTGCTTCATTCGGGCATTGACCGCGCGATGTTGGGCAATGACGGCATTGAAGCTACCCTGATCACAATACTCGTTCTGAATCAGCATGTGATCGTCTTCTTCCCAGGCCGAGTGGTAGCGCACAATGTGCATCTGGTCCTGAATAACGGCATGTGCATAGACCTCGCGCAACAGGGCTTGCCTGTCGAGATGCCGACGGCAAAGTCACGGAATGAGATGTGGGCACAAGCACAATGCTGCAGAATTGCAAACATCATTGAGCAATAAGGGGGTTGACCACGTACTCATCACCCATGCTGCTGATCTTGTGCTTGCTGCGCTTGATGGCGTACACGATACCATCTACCGTGTAGGAACACATGTTTTGATCCCCATGCACATGAGAATAACATGCAAGGCATGCTGGTAGCTGTGGCGTGGCTAAAAGCAGCCAGGCCAACAGGTCAACAAGCACAGAAAGTACACTCGGGCGACGTACCTAGCTTGTTGACACATTTGAGCACGGTGCCGAATTCACCATTGCCCAAGACAGCCTTTTGCAAAAACTCCTCGGCAAAGCGTGAGATATTTTGCTGGGTTTGAAAACGACCACTCTGTGAACATGACACGAATGTGGACCGGACGTTAGCCTTGGGCACAAGAGGTACAGTGGCAAGATGAAAAAGCAATTGGGGCGGTACGTGAGAATGAGGATATGGGCTACCTTGGTTGGGAGGGGGTAGTCAGTCGATCGCTCAATGACGGAACGTTTGCCTTGACCGTCCTGTTCGCTGGAGCTTTGACTTTGGAAGCGCTTAAAAGGATTGACGTTGGCCTGCGCGCTCGATGGTCGGGAGGCAGGTAGGCTGCGGGTCTGCAAGCCCTGGCTGCGAAGGTGGTGGGGGATTGCGTTGCGGGGGCGGCGCGCGGAGCGAGGGCGAAGGAAGACGTCATCCGCGTCGGAGTCCGTGTCATGGACGGAGAGGCTGATGCTGTCGGCAGAGCTGTCAAATTCGTTAAGTTCGTACTCGTCCTCTTCGTCGGTGGTGTTGGCAGTCGCCAATTGGTGGCGTTGGCGGTGGCGGCTGCCCGCCAAAATGACCGGGGGCTTGGTCTTTTGCACCGGCTCACCGATTTGGGCTTGGGAGCGAAAGCTCTGCAGGAGCGAGCGTGGGGTGGCTGGATTTGGGGCAAGTCGAATCTTCGAGCTGGCGCGGCAAAAGGGGATGGGCGAGTTGATGTCGGACGGGGTGAGTTGGTGTGGTGGGTTGAGCTGTGCCAGGGGCGAGCGCAGGGCCTGGGGCGAGCGCAGAGAATCAAAGTGTTTCAAGGGTTCGGGGGAGGGCGTGGCCATGCCATCGTCCCAGTCCATGTCCATGTCAGCGTTACCAGCGAAGTGGGGTGGTGAGCGGCCAAAGACGTCGCCGTCATCTGAATCGGCCTCGAGCGCTGAGGGGAAGCCCAGAGGGCCATTGTCATGGCTATCACGGGCCACACCGAATAAGGGGGCGGTGTGTTCAAGATTGCGCAGGCGGGAGCGGGGCGCCTTGAATGGAGTTGCGGGTGATTCCATCGTGCCGATCCGACTGTCTTGGGGAAAACTGCGGGACGACGGGCAACGAGACTACTGATGTGGTCCCTGAGACCAAGAAAAATGGGACGAGGAAAAGATGCACGCGGGCACGTTCAACGAGCAGCCAGTCAATAAACGCCTGCAAGAGGCGCGGGTGACAGGTGCTCGGCGATTCCGATGGCAGGCGGGCGGGTGCAGCTGAAAGCTGGGACTGCTCTTCAATCCTGGGAAGGAAAAGGAGCAGGGAGCACGCGCGCGCAATCGACGTGGGCGCACACAGTTGATGGCCAGGCCGACGCCGAGCAGGTCCAAAGTGGAGATGAAGGTACGGTGGTGCGGTTGAAGGGGACTGGGGCAGAAAAACCGAACACAGCCGCAATGACAGGATGGGGCGGACGGTTTACAGGAAGGGTGGGAGGTCACAGCGCTTGGAAAGCGCAGAACAGATCCGGTTTGGTCCGGTTTTTTGGTTGTTTTTGTGATCGGCCCGAGACGAGAAGGGCAGAGGTGGAAAGTCAGATGGTGTGACGCTCAAGGGTGGGGTGGGGGAGGGGAAGAAGTGGATGTGGATGGATCGAGTCGTCAAAGAGGCAGCGGGCACAACCCGGCAAGGGCCACCCAAACGTGTGTCTGTGTGTGTGTGTGTGGGCAGCAAAGGAGCAAATATTCCGGCTGTGCAAAAATCAGTCAGGACCCGTCACACACGAGATTCACCCCCCGTCTTTGTCCTGCACATCCACACCAAGACGAGCAGCTTGCGTATGAACGCACGCACGTATGTGTTTGCGGGGGGAGGAGAGGGAGGGTGCAAGCAAGGACGAGGAGGAAGGGAGAAGGAGGAAGGGAGGAGGAGGAAAGGGCGCACTTTGGGTTTGACGGTTGAACCAAAATTTGGCAAAAAGAAAATATCACACACACACACTCTCTCTCTCTGTTTCTCTCTTTGATGTTCGCTCGTGCTGTCGTCGAGATCTGTTCTTTCGTGTTGGGGCAGGTCTCTGTGTGTTTGCTTTTTTTTCAGGGAGGGGATGGGGTAGGAAGAGGGAGGGCGTCTCGCTTGTGCTTGTAAATTGTCAAGGCGTAAGGTGAGAGCGGCGACTGCCGTTTGTGAATTCGTATCAGGTCGAACCCGGTACGCATCAAATCAGTGTCACATCCCAGATTGGCGTCACTTCCATTATTGATCTGTTGTGACATGCACGGATTGCATGCCTCCCCTACTGAGTGACCGGGAGATTCGACAGGTGACTGATTGATTGCTAGCTATGGCAGGGTTTCTATTCGTCCCCACAGCCCCTCTCCGGTAGCTACAACAAACCCCGCCGAGCTTTCAATTTGGCCCGGGGATTTGAATTATGGTGGGAAATCTTTTTGTATAGATCAGAGCTGAAAATTATGAATAAAATCATATTCAGGAAAATTATTTGTAACGGTCATAAATTTTACAGCAGGCGAATGAAGTGAACGTGATGGGCTCGGTTGCCAGAGGTTGCCGGAGGTTGCCGGGGAAAATTTTGCTTAGGCTTCAAGTTCCGAGGCGAATTGGGCCTCCCAGACCCGATGCAGGTCCTCGTCAAATGTGGTGCCGTATCGGTCGCAGACAGAAGCAATCAACCCCTGTAACACAACGACACCACCCACCACTTTGGTCAAAACAAGTGCTACCCACAAATCGTCCGAGTGCCAACAAGCGCCGGCAAGTGCACGCACCTCGCAGGTGGCGGGATAAGATTGGATAGTCACGCTGGCATCCGTGAGCGCCGTGTTGTGCTGTACGACCAACTTGCGAGGCTTGCGGTTGGCAATCACCTGCATCATGCACACAGCCATGCCAAGCGACAAGCATATCATGACAAAGGCAGTCGGCAACAAAGGTTTCAGAGGCGGGTGTGCCCTGCTCGGCTTTTGAGAGATGGTTGTCAATGACATTAACATTCTTATTGTGTGCGCCGTTCTCTTCCACCCAACGCACCTCATCCCGCAGCTCCAGGTGCGCCTCTGTCACCGTGGCGTACTTGGCAAAAAGCGCACGGCCGCCCTCGAAATCTGAGACATAATCAAGCCCACCCATAAGCATCCCGTCTCAGTCTTGTGATCTTCCAGGGCCCCCATCGAAAACTCGTCAGCACTACACACCGCCCGTGCTCTTGTAAACTTGCAATTTTTGCAAGAAGGCTCCCACGGCCGTCAAGCCAACCGTCATGATCTGTGCCCACGTCGAGCGCAAACACCACAAGTCAGCATCAGCCTGCCCGCATCTGAGCCCACCTTCTTAAGCAGCGGGTCAAACCTTGGTGCGGTCCAGTGCCACGTAGGTGCCTTGTCCTGTGCTTTGGTCAGGGTCGCCTCGCACGATTTTCAAAAAGTCCTCACCGGCTTCCAGCATCACCTGCACCAACAAATCCAAATCAAGCAACCCCGTCTGAGCAGCCACAAGCGCCGTAGCCCGCCCGCTTGAAACGCACATTCATAATCACGTAGCGGGCCATCATGTGCGCTTGGCCCCAACCCGACAACCCCTTGCCGGGGGTGAAGTACTGCAGAGCCAACAAGCCCTTGCGGGCCATATCCAGCCAGTTGATGTACCACATCTGCGCATCAGCCGAGTACAAGAGCCATGAGCAGTAATCCAGCACCCACCACCAAAGCGTTCGGTTGGCCTCATTCAAGTGGACGCAGCGCCACTCCAAACTGAAAAAGCATCAGCCCTGCTCCAGACTTACGTCGGGTGCGATAGTTGCATCCAGCTCAAAGATCTCATGAACACGTGGCTGTACCGCCAGGAAAATGCCCACGCACTCAGCACGGCACTCCTCGTAGGCCGACCCGATGCCGGGAAACTTGGAATCCCACGTTTCGCCCGGTAGATAGTACGAGTCAATCTGCTCAACCAGAGAATAAGCCCAGCGCCAGAAATTTCTTTTTTTTTTCTCTCTCGTGGAGGGGAGGGTTGTTATGTCTCAGCTAGCCGGCGTTTTGGCGTACCAGATTGCCCGTCAGCGGGTTTTTGACAGCATCCACGTCGAAATTGAAGGTTCCATCACTCTTCTTTACAAACAACTTGCCGCTTCCGTGGCCTATCACGGATTGGCGAGCCACCATGAGTCGCAGGACCCCGAATGCACCGCTTGAAACCGGATATGTCAACGCAATGTGTTTTGCAAGTGATCAACTCTGCGACACGTACCCAGCAGCTCGTGCAGGCCAACCTAGCCGATCCATAAGAAGCCCAAGTGCATGCATGGTTTGCATTCATAGGTGATGATCACACACATGCACGCGCACACCCGTACCAGAAAAAGATTTGTTGAGAATGACACCGCCTACATCGGCAAGCATCATCCCACTCCCCTGGCCTGGTTGTTCATCCTTACCTGAACGTCAAATGCTTTGGTCACCATCGCCTTGTACAAAGCCTGCGTCCAACGCGTATACACACAGTCGAAATGAGCATACCTGTACAAGCGATGCGGCTGACCGTCACGACTTTGTGCAACGTCACGGAGTTGGCAAACCTGATCGCTGTCCGCCAGAAAGGTGGTACGTTCATCCGCGCCCACGGCGTAGGACGCTCGCAGCATGTTGCCCAACGATACATTCTTGAAACCTAAACCAAGGACACACCAGCCGCCGCACTTGTGAGATGAGCTCAAAGACCATTCTGAAGAGGTGGGAGCGCGAAAAGTACAACGAGCAGGCGCACAAACCATCGTTTTGGCGGACGTCATCGTAGTTGGGAATGTTGATCCCAGCCGGCACGCCACTCGAGCCAAAAGCAAGCACCTCCAATGAAGTGAAATCTGGGCGCAGGAAGCGGTCCTTTTCAAAGGATTCTGGCCATGGCAGCTCAGGCAAGAGTTGCTCGGCCATCTCCACCAGTTTGATGAATTTTTTGCTCACATCTCGGTTCACAATGGCGGCAAAGCCCTCCCTAAGCATAGTCAAGGACCATCGGGTAAGCGGAGGGGCAGACACCGCTGCCTCGCATCGTTTGACGGTCGTCTTGCATGGGCCCGTCTGCAGGACCGAGGGACGAACCATTCTGCTTTGGAGCCAAGAGGATCGCGGTACGTCTCGATAAAGCCAATGTACGATTCGACAGCCGGACCCTATGGCGCGAAGATGGGCACCGTCACAACCTGGCGGCGAACCACGCTTTGTACACACATGCGTGGCAATGTGTTGTTTCAGAGTCTGCCGTACCTTGTCCTTGACCCAGTGGCGGCTGCCCTCTTTGTGAGCTTCCACGTCGCCTGTGCGGAAGCTAATGCATGGAATTTGCGGGTACACGGCAGTGTCAGTACCGGATGGGCCAGTCGGAGGCCTAGCTGACATGAAAGACAGTGCAGCACCGGGTTGTTTCCTCACCTTTCGATGTAGTACTGCAACATCTGACGCTGAGTGTCGTTGGCGGCAAAGATGCAGGCCGACTTGAGGTGGGAAACGACGCGTGCCATGATGGGAGCAAAATCGCCGGTTTCGACCCGAATCTCAGCCTGACCCTCTACACTCGTGTACCAGAAGCAACAAGCAAGGGCATGAAAAGAAAACAAGAAAAAAAAAGGTGGATCGGCATGCACTCGATCAGAGCCGGGCTTGGTGCACATTCAAAAGGGCATGCACCAACCAGTAGCAGGGCGCAGAATGCGTGGCTCGCCAGCCTCAGCCGAGGCCAAGTGCACTGTGTAGTACATCTGGCAAAACATCAAGGGGCTCAGCACGGCGACAAAGCAGTCGGAGCGCAAGTGCAGGGCAGTGTATGACGATAAAGCAAACCTGGCCCTGATCGTTGGCGCGCTTGCTCACACGAGCATTGTAGGATGAGACACCACTGGCGTCGGCCACGGCTTGTACCTGTAGGAGAATCGGAATATGTTGAGGCTTGCTTTAGGGGCCTGAGCTTTGTCAACTCGGACGAGCTCGTGGCCATGCCCAACTGGCCGATGCAAGCGCACCTCCTTAGCCTCCGCTTCGGTCATTCCAGCCGTGTAATAGGTCGTTTTGCCCTGAGGCGCAAAGGCCAAAGAAAGGGCGTCGTCGGCGTCGTCAAACACTCGACTGGCAATTTTGGCCCAAACGGCAGCCAATTGCTCGTTCCAGCCTTTGCAGAGCTAGCGAAGATGAGCCAAACGCAGCAACGCAGGGGGGGGAAGGTAAGACTTGGTGCGGGGAGGCAATGAGCAGGTCAAGACCGCGCGCCTCGCATGCCGCGGGTCCTGGGTAGAAGGCACATTGCCCCTGGCACCCGAGACGACACCTCTTTATCATCCCGCACATGTCGAGGTGAGCTTCAAACCTGGAGAATGCGGGTGAAGGTGGCTTCGGGGATGGCGGGTAGCATTTTCGTGTCGCCAAAGCTGCGGTAGTTGCCCAGGTTGCTGAAAAAGGCAGCCACGTATCGAACAAAGGCCTAGGTGGATTTGTCGGCGGCATGAGTAGGCAGGGCATGGATCAAGGCATTTGGAGCAAAGCGCAGCTGCGTAGTCGTCTGGGAGGATAGCCTCTACATGTGAGTGTGTACGGCTCTGTGGAGGACAAAGAAGCGGTATTAGCTCACTGTATAGTCGTCCGAGCTCAAGCCAGCCTGCACACAACGGGCCTGTAGATCGTCCAAGTCCTGGTCTGCATGGATGCGGCCAGCATGTGTCAGGGAGGGAGCGCCGGTGGCCCAGGGGGGCTGATGATGAGCCGTGAAGAGTACGGTGGGCGCGAGGGAGCGTACCATGAAAGGCCCCAAGCAAAACCTGGGCCTCGGGGGCGCTTTCCAGCGAGGTCTGACATCAACGGTGGGGGTGATGAGCAAGCGCACGGTAGCATCGGTCTGGGCTAGGTAAGGGGGCGTGAGCTCTCTACCTGGAGCAGGCATATCTTGCTGCCCTCGAAAGAGGCTCGAGCAATGTGATGGGCGTAGCGCTTCTCCTGGTCCGACAAGAGCGCAAAGGGCTAGGCGGTACAGATCATGGATCAAGTTATTGCACCTGGTTGCGCCAGTCACATGCCCGAGGGTGCCCAGCTCACCTCGGCGCAGTCAAGGCAAACAATCGGGCATTCCCCGCTGACAGCGTACAGAGCGCGCTTGTCCGTCATGATGAACAGTTGAGCCTGAAGCCAAACAGAACAGGATGAGAGATGGAAACGCGTCAGATACGTTTCTCATTCTCATGCTTTTGCCTTCTGTACACCCTGTACAACGCACGGTGTCGTGTCGTGGCGTCACAGCCCTTTCCCATTCAACGGCGCCCCGCCGGCACTGACTGCCAGTAAACCGACCTTGTTTGAATTTTTTTGATCATCAGCTGTAAACTGCCTGACAATGAATTCTGACATGGTGCTACCGTGTGTCATTGTCAGTCACTATTTTATCTGACAAAAGGCGACTTGGTGGAACAGCTTTGTCCAACAGCTGTTGAAGCCACGTGCACCGCCCCATCGTGGGATTGCAGAAATCGCGATGTGTTCATCACCAATCCAGAACATCAGCACAATCGGCATAACGTTATCGGCTTGGTTCACAATGGTTCGTCATGATGCCAACGAGGACAAAATTTAATTTTCTTGTCTTGCTGTCGGCGCGAACAAACGAAGCGCGTGTCTCTCTCTCTCTCTCTCTCTCTCTGTCTCTCTCTCTTGCACTCTCTCTCGCTCTCTCTCTCTCGCTCTCTCTGTCTCTCTCTGTCTCTCTCTGTCTCTCTTTCTCTCTCTCACTCTCTCTCCCAAACTCTCTCAAACACACACACTCTGCAATCTCTCTCTCGCAAACTTTGTGACGGTTGCAGCAAAAGGGGGTCACGGTTGCAGCAAAACGCGACGCCCCCTTTGAAACCCTTTTGGCGAATGGGCGGGCAGGTTCCTGTGTTTCCTCCCCCACCCCCGAAGAGATTACAGCCGTTATCTTGAATACAGTGTGTGCATAGGTCAAGGTCCAAGAACGCGAACGCCCGCATCGCGTGTCCAGGAAACAAAATCACAACAACAATTCGTGTAAATTTAGCGACATAAAAGGGACGGGCAAGCCTTGGTCGGCCTTTCTTTGGCCCTCTCTCCAATTGCACAAACGGGCCCGCGAAGCATCGCGCCCGACATCATGTAAGCGGACGTCGATAAACACATCAAAGCCGGCGCGAAACCTGCAACCTTCTTATATTGAAACGGGTCACGAACCGATTGGATGCTTCCTCAAAAAAGGTTGCTCCACATGCTCATTGTGATAAAAAAATGAAAAAAATCAAGCTCCACCCCAGTCACCCAACCCTACTAGCCTGGCCACCTGCTGTCGCGGCCGCCCTTTGCTTCTCCACCCTCGCCTTGCCCTCTCCCAACACGTCCACGTCCTCGATCTCGATAGACAGGTGTCCGATGTCAAGCAAGACGCTGAGTACGATGCCACGCGGCACAGAGGTTTTTGGGTGTGAAGCACACCTCTAGCTGCGTGAGTAAGCGCACTGCTACTGTTGCTGAACGAGAGCTGCACAGTGCCAGCAAACTCCCAACCCGCGAACGCGCGGTCGTTTCGGTTTCTCCTGCCATCGAGAAACCTCTGCCTCTCATCAAGAAGTGTGACCTGCTGTCAAACGTCATGTTGCGTACCCCACCTGAAACTTCGATTCGAGTATCCCACACGCATGTTTTTGTTGCCACTCGCTAAGCTGTTCCTATGAACTGTCGCCGGTTGATGCTGCAATTTGTTCGTTTTGTGCAGATTGACTGGAAGCTGGTCCCTCTGTCTCTCTGCCTCTCTCTGTCTCCGTCCCTCTCTGTCCCTCTCTGTCCCTCTCTGTCCCTCTCTGTCTCTCTCAACCTCTGTCTCTCTCTCTCTCTCTGTCTCTGTCTCTCTCTGTCTCTCTGTCTCTCTCTGTCTCTCTCTGTCTCTCTCAATCTCTCTCAATCTCTCTCAATCTCTCTCAAATTCTCTCAAACCCTCTCTCAAATTCTCTCAATCTCTCCCTCTCTTCTCTCTCTCTGTCTTTGTCTCATTGACTTTGTCTCTCATCTTATTTTCTCTCTCTGGTCGTCTGCCTTGCTTCCTTCCTGTGGACACTCGAGCTCATGTTCTTTGCTTTCTCCACCCGTTTCTCGCACACTCTCCTTCTGCCCCTCCCCCTCGCCCCGCCCGTCAACACTCTTTCGCCCTTTTGTTCTTGGTAAAGAGGGGCGGGGCGCGGCTGCACATTCTGGCAGAACATGAATGATCGGCACCCTTGTGCCAGTGCGAGTCGGTCGATGTGTCTGTGAGAACAGGTAGGATCCTCTCGTGTGTGCACTTGATTGATCCCACCTCGTCTCACCTGCACACTCCCCACACGAACACGAAACATCACATCATATTGGCTTCCCCGTGCCATCACACCGCCCCATCTTGACCTGTCAAACATAATCCCACCCATGTTCGCCGCCTTCGACGCACAATCCTTTGGACACACCAACATACGATCAGATTCGGCGGAGCCGCTCATGCACCGTGCGTGAGATTCAAGCACAACTTGCTTGACCATGCTTGACCATACCCTTCTGCCGCACATGCGATGACCTGCCACCACAACACCTGCCCAAGGCGCCATTATCACAACCTGTGCGCATGCCACTCCTGGCCACCTGCCGCCCCTGCACCTTTTGCCGCGATTGCTTTGGAGCACATGCTCATGCCTTGACCCCAAACCGCTCTTCTTCCTGGTGGCCCACCGCCAAAACTGACCTGCGGCGTTATGACCCGGGCCCGAAACCAAGTCTCTCTTCCTTGCTCTTCAGTGACTTTAGACTCTTCTTTGCATATGCGCGCACCACAAACAAGCACACCACTCATGTAGCACAACTCCTGGAAGCAATAACGCATACCCAGTCCGCCCCACATATGTTTCCTCATTGTTAACCTGGACTGCACTTGCTCCTGTGGCAGCCGCACCAGCTTTCACAGCATTGATGTCAATTGGCGGGCATTGCTGATCGTCAATAATATCTTCCTCTTGACACCTGATGCTTGGAAGGCTCGCCCGGGACGACGTCAACGCTAAGGTAAACACTAAACGCCTCAACTGAGCGCTCTCCAAATTGTTCAAACCGGCTCAGTGGCACCCCCTCCCACATGTGTACTACATCATTGCTTTTTCTCCTTCATGGTGGCTGCTTCCCACTCCTTTTGTTTGATGTTCATAAGTTTGAAGCTTTCTGAAAGCAAACGACCGAGCCACTTGCTTGTGCAAGAACAGCGATATCTTCGTACGCTGTGACAATCACATGGGGTACGCACAATCGCCTTGAACCTTCCATAGCAGCCCACGGCAGGCGTTAACAAGACTCTCGCCCCACACCTTACACCCACATCCCATCCTGGGTCACCCTGCTGTTGTATTCATCCTGCTTCCTGCCGCACCCGCTCTCATGCTCCCTTTCTTCATGACCTCAACTACTATGGGCCAATGGCCAGGATTGGTGGCCGAAAGCAGATCTTGCTTCCTTGGATTCCCTTGAGACCCACATCAAGGCCAAGAGCGCCGCGCGCGTCGTCTCAAACCCCTCGGGCGCCCTTTTCTTTTCAGTCAAAATCATAGATAAACTCCATTTTGGTGCCTCTTGCTCGGCACCAAGCGGAAGGACACACGCACCCACGCACCCACGCAGAACATTGTGTCCCTGCCGACGGATTGACACAGAGAGGTAGAAAGGACAAAGAAGAGACCTCGGTAGCCTCGGAAACACATGGCCTTGTCTGAGTTATGTCGCGAGGCCACCCAGTGAGGCTTCAGCACTTCACGCCGAACAGCTTTGAGTCTCCAACCCTTTACCATGGCCAAGCGCCGCGCATCTGGGGCCAGTGCAGCGATGAATATCTCTGCTGCGGATGTCAGTGCACTTTTGCTTCGCTGTTCTCCAGCACAGCTTCCTGTGCCAATGGTCATCAAAGTGCTCCGGGCCCTGCTGCCCACAACTGCAACAACGGCAGAGGACCGGGCCTCGGCCTCTCGCGCCACGCGCCATCGACGCATGGCCACAAAGCTACTCCAGGCCGTCGATGAAGGCTGGCCCTTTCAGTCCCAGGGTATTCTGATCCTGCGCCGATGCTGCGATCCGCATTTGGCTGCAGATCAAGCCCCCGCTGTCATCGAACGCATGGCACGAGAAAATAACATTCACTTTTCCCGCATGCACCAACTCTGTTGTCACCGCGCCTTGATGGCGGATCCTTCACGGGGACCCCAGCGCTACTACGAATGGCCTGTGGATACTGCATTCCCTCGCTTGTTTGAGGCAAGTGCACCGTAACCATGTTTTCTTAATACTTGCATACACATCCCTCAATTCTTGACAATGCACGCATTTTAATTTTCACACCTGCTCAAGAGTAAAAGCCTGGTGTCACTCCGCCTTGACATCCGCACCAAGAGTTTTCTCCATGATTCTCGTGCCCATGCTGCACTTTTTTTTTTTTTTTTTTTTTTTTTTTTTTTTTTGCAACAACAGTTACATTTCCGACTCACTTGGCATTACCTTGATGCTTGCTATGCCATACAGGCGGCCCCATACTTAGCCTACCTTGCACTCCCAGACAGCATGCTTAAACTCCGGGCATGGGCAACCACCAATGGACATACGTCTGCCAGCCCGACAGAGTACTGCTTTGAAAGCGGTGATATGGCGCTGGTTCGCGCTGACATCATCCATGAGCTTGAAACCATGTGCAGCCAGCCCACTGGATTCCATCTTTTTGCTTTTCGCACCAGTGACCTACCTCATTGCACCGAGCGCACTTCACTGCCCCGCCTTCCCATACCGAGCCCACCTCGAGACGCCAAGGCAAGCAACCCTGAGAGCGCTGACAAAGCTGCGGCCCTAAATCACAACCAAGACTGGGCGAGGACTCAAAACAAGGCAGCTCGACGATCGCTTCCAAATCGTCACCCTGTTCACAGTTCAATCATTGATGAGCAAGGTGGCCACGCCAGCGGTCTTCACGGTCATCAAACCCGAGAACTGCCCCTGCACCACAAGCCCGAAAACGGAAGCTCGAAGTTGAAACAAACCGCCACTTCATCTGACAGGATCGAAAACCAATCCAGGGACGACATGCGACCGGGGTCGCCCGTGCTATCTGGCCCGGAGACGAGTGCCGATTCCAGTGCACCAGTCGAGAAGCGCCGTGGGCGCCCACGGCGCCGCTGGAAAGGCGATCAAGTAGTTTTGGACACGCGCGGTATGGGTCGAGACTTTCATTCGGGAGTGAGGCGCATTCTCAATGAGCTGTCTGCCGACGGGGTTGGTTCTCTGGCCGTGCGAGGCCGCTACCTGGGCCTGCTAGAGCAGCCGGCGCAGCTGTGTGAGGATATTTTACGACTTCCTGCAGCCAACTTACAGTGTCAGGATCGCTGGCGCGATGTCTACGCGCGTGCTTCGAATGCATCAGTGGCCGCTTGGGTGAGCTCCCGCTTTGCGCGAGGCTTGATACTCGTCGTGCTGGCCCGCCGTTTATCCGAGGCCACGGGTCTACGGCCGTCAATGTTGGAGGACGTATACTCACGGTTGGTGGAGCTTTTGGGTGAGACGCCGTCCCATTTCGGTCCCAGCACGGCCCGAAAGCATTACTTTTACGCACTCGCGCTAGAGCAGCACCCGGCTCTTGCTGCCATCAATTGTGGCTATGAGCACATTGCCGCCGCTTGGTGCGGAACCCTCAAGATTCGTGCTCAGCGCGAACTTCACGCTCATTCTGCCAACTTGAGTGACCTGCCCATACCGCTGGACGAATCTGAGGGGTTTATGGAAGCTACGGCCATGGTCATGCGAGATTTGCCTCTGCCACCCTTTCTGGAGGCCGCCCGTAAAGTCCTTAGGACCACAAACACGGTGGCTCAAGAGAGCTCGCACGCAAACCCAAGTCACAGCCATGTCCTGAAGCGCGAGACTCCAGCATCGTTGTCTGGGGACCCAACGAGTGGTGCCGATGCCTCGGGCTCCAACCGGAGCAACAAGGGTCCTGCCCTCTTAGCAGCCTCAGCTTTGTTGGATCTACAGCGAAAGGGAGCTGCGAATGATGCGCCATCAAACTTGAGCGCGACATTGCGAGCAGCCTCACCGCCCACTTCCATCCCAAAGGCCCAGGTACAAGAGGGCCTTGGCGACACGTCCTACTCCAACAAACCACCTGCGACCAAGGCTAGTGACAACAACAATACACTTGCTGACGGCGAGCTTGCGGCGAAAGTCCGCAAGCACTTGGATTGATGCCCTTCTGAACAAAACCTGACTGGCGCTTTTGACTGGTCGAGCTCTTGAGAGCATTTGATTATTCCAGGCCGTGCCTCTACCTCCACAGCCCTCTCGTTTCAAATGCCAATGAATTGATTTTCTAAAGCTCGACGCTCTGTCTTTGTTCAGCTTCTGACCGCGCCAGTAATACCGGGTCGAGAGCGGAAAGCACCCATTGACCATCACCTTTAATCAGGTCCATGCCCTGCTCCCGACCTCTCGAGCCCAAGGGTCCCACTTCATACGACCCATGACAATTTTGCAGTACACTGTCAAGTGGTAGCGTAAAACCCATGATACACCTCGGCAGCCGTGCCAAACAGTCGTTCTAAATAGTATCCCAAACGTATGTTACATCTTTGTGTACTTTTTAGTTGTGGTATTTGATTGTTGCCAACTGTGGTTGTGTTTGACGCTCTTTTCAGGTATGAAGCAACTGGCAACTGAACGGCAAACGGCAGTCGCGCCAGGCGCTGCCATCACCTTCAGCATGGAGACGCTCGTTCAGTGTGCATGGGCTTGAAGTTGGTTTGGTCCGTACTTTGAGATCATCACGGTCTTCTCATGAAAAGCTCGATGCCTTGTAGCACTGCTTCGGCTCTTGAATTTTTCCACACTGACACACACACCCAGCGCGATGGTGGTGGAACGGCACACTCGCCTGGCAGCCGCGGCACTGCTCGTGCTCTCTGCCTTGTATGTGCCTGCTTGGGCCGGCTCAGAGCTAACCTTTGACATGAGTCCCCATCAAGAGCAATGCTTTTACGAGCAAGTCGAACGAGGTGTCAGCGTCTCAGTCGATTTTCAGGTGAGTGACTGGGCACAACCCCATGCGCTGGCGCGGATTGTCTGAAAGTGGCGAACCTGCCTCCTGTCTTTTGTGGCACGATCCCTATCCAGCTTGCGCGTAGGGAGCAAAAAACCACCCTTGCAACCTGCTCTTGCGCTTTCTCATGCCGGAGATTCGCGGGTATAGGTTGTCTATGGCGGTCGTCTGGACATTGACGTGGAGGTGCGCGAGGGCCAGAACATCATTTGGTCTCAGCAGCGCGCACAGTCTGGTGACCACACTTTTACTGCCACTCGCGTACGTCATGATCTGATTTGCCCGTGTGTTTTTGTTGCAATGTGCTTTGTCCATCTTTGCCCCCGCTCCCTCGCCCCTGCCTTGCTGGCGGCTCAGCTACCCCGACTGTGAGCAACCAGTGAGCTTACTGACGAGTGGCTCGCGTGGCAATGACGCCGTGCACGCCCCCTTTGCTCTGACCATCTGTGGGGCTTGTCGTCGACTTTTTTTTTTGGCTTTCCACAGACTGGCGAACACGCCTTCTGCTTTAGCAACAAGTTCTCCACTGTGGCGCACAAGACGGTAAAGATGCCTCCGGTCTTGAGTAGAATAGCGTCAGAGTGGGACAAATCTATTGACGCGCCCCGGGATATGTTATTGGCTGTGCGATCTGTAGGTCTACATTGATGTCGTCGTGGGTGACGATGAGCCCGTGCTGGACCAGGACGGCCTCAAGCATCAAACCGCCCTGACTCAGTTGGAAACATCCCTCGTCAATATCCACGATAGCCTCAAGCGTGTCTCTGCCGTACAAAGCCACCTTCGCCTCCGCGAGGCATCCCATCGCCACACGGCTGACTTTATGAATGAGCGAGTCCAGGTCTGTCGGCGTTTCCACGCGCGTTCGAGCTGCCATCCTCCCCGCTCTGGGCCCCCAGCCCCCTGAATCAGTCTTTTTTTTTTCTGAGGCCCTGGTTGGCTTTGGCATTGGACGCCTCTCTCCTGCACTGACTGCACTGACCCTGGTTGAATGATGGCTGCGTACTGATGGGTCTACATAGTGGGTGTCGGCAAGCGAACTCTTGGTGCTGGTGGGTGTGGCTATTTTTCAGGTGTTCTACCTTCGGTCGCTCTTCACCAACAAGCCTGACCGGTGAGTTATTTGTGAAGGTGCCACAGACTAGCAACCACCCATCTGACTCGCGGCATCCTCACCTTACTTTCTCATTGCCTCCCTTCGCTCTTGTTAGCTTCTAGCCTGGTGTCGCCGCGATTGTTGTGCGTGTTTAGCCGGGGATATCCTTGCTTCAGGTCACGGTGTGACCGGGTCTGCTTGTCTTGACGTTTTGTTTATTTCTTCGTCCCGACGACATTTCAATCACAAGCCCTCAAAGCAGGTTGCAAAGAGCAAACCCGCGTGCCCAAGTGGCCTGGCATACACACCGAACGCATCACAGACGTGTTCAATTATAATTATCGCCGTTGTCTCATTAAAAGACACATGCGGTGGTATAATGCGCAGATGAGAGTGTATGTATGTATGTAAGGTAGTGGCTGCCGTCACGCTGGATGGCTCTGCGTAGTGCGGTCAGATCAGCTTGAAAGGCAGACACTGCTTATGCGGTCGCTGCCCTCGTTGTTCGTAGCGAGCGCGGATGACGGGCCACTCCCCAGAAACCTCAAACTCTAAGCGGTCGGGGCCTCCGACGTTCCATCCAGTGAAAACCCAGAGGGCGTAGTTCTGGCACAGCGACGAAAGCGCGTGCAAGACATGACGGCTCCCGACAGGCAAAGTCAATGTGACAGGCAGGGACACGTTGAGCCCGTCAAAATTGACCGTGGTTTCAAGCTGCGTCCCCACGGCTTCAGTGGGCAGCGCCACCCCAAGCGTCAATACCATGACCTCGGAGGACATGGTCGTCATGGGCATTGTGTTTGTGCCCATCTCAGATGTTGTACCGATGCCCGCGCCCCAGGTCGTGCTTGTCGGACCGGGCGTTGTTGAGGACAACTCGGGTACACCTGCGTGAACATTCCATTGCCAGTAAGGAAACTCGCATTAACGGGACTCGCGACCGGTACAAGCACCTTCTTCGAGACTTGGACACATGCTGACGGGCTGACTCACCTCGACGCAAGTCACACACAACGTGATGCTCAGCTGCACAGTTGTCGTCATCAAACATGCCAGCACCTAAACATGGACAAGACATTTGAGTCAGTCACACACGTATCTGTGTCGAGCCCAATTTGAGGGCTGATGGCTCCACTCTAGTTGTGCAGCCGACTCGTGGGGTGACACGCACCGTTGTAGCCTGACCAGACGCAGACCTGCCCCAAGTTGTTGGGCTCGCCATCTTGCCATGGCGTAGCGCTCGCATTGTAAGCTGAGCCTATGCAGAACATCAATGCAACAGGGAAACAGCTGAGTGCGGCAGGCCATGGACATCATCTGCTTGTCTGTTGCGTTTGGCTTGAAGGCTCGTTGTAGACTGCACTTGAACAGCTGTCCCAGCCCTGCCTGCGCAGGTCGTCAGTACAATCTATCTACCTTCGAGCCATTGAAAACCATGAAGCACATCAGGTCGACCATCGCGTGCCAGTGCCACCCAGTGATCCACGTAGGTAGTAATCACTTCTGGAACAATCGTCAAGGTTTCGCCAGTCACTATGTGCAGTTGACAAAAAAAAAAAAACAAGACTCATGAGCAATGAAAGAATGCCGCGGCTCGATGTGGCGGGGGCAAGGGCTAGGGGCAATTGCGCAAGACAAGGCAGCCGAAACGCACGCCATTCGTAGAGGGCCAGTTCGAGAAGAAGACGCTCATGCTCGTCAACTGGCGCCACCACAATGGCTTCGAGCTTCGAGCATGCCGCAAGAGCCGACGTAAAGTTCATTGGCTAGCCACCACCCAAAATAAAAAAGCAAGGGCACGGTGCAGCATCAGAGGCTCGATTTGTGGCCGTTCTCATTTGAGGTCGACACAATGCACACTGTGTCGCTTATTTCAAATGTCCTAAATCATATACGCCTCGCCACCCGGAAGCACGATCCCCTTTGCGTTGCATGATCTTTACGCACCTCGGGTAGCAGCACGTAGCGATCGCGGGGCACAGTGATGGGTTGTGGGACGGGGCCACCGTACGGGTCTTCCAGATAGAAATAGCGATCAACCTTCCCTGAGACCATGCCAATCCACAAGTCCTCTCGGGGGCTGGGTTCCAGGGTGGTAAACTGGCCAGGGTCAGTGTCAAAGAGAAACTCCCTTTCAACGGTCGATCCAGTCTCGTCAAAGACGGCGCTGTTGAGAAAGCGCAGTCCATAGTCGCCGTAAAAGAGGGTCCCATACAGGCTTGGAGGAAAGTGGCTGCCACGATACACGAAGCCGGCAACGACTGCCGATTGTTGGTTGTTGTGCGGCCAGGCCAAGACTGGAGCGTGATAATCGCTTGTGGGGGTCTCATAACACCTAAATCCCTCACAGAACGGCCACCCCATGTTGACAAAGCCATCCGATTCACGGTACAGCGTGACCTCTTCCTCGGCTATTGCCTGCGTGGTGTGAGTCCAAATCATACGAACCGACAATGCCAGAGTGAGGAACATCGTCATCGTGTCGTGTTTCCATGTCCGCTGTGCGAACCAACGGCCGCGCACCGGGTCGTTGCCTCCGACATCGCCAATGAAGAGGCGACCTGTTTCTAGATCCCATCTGTGGCATGTCAACCAGCAAACGTGGCGTACGTCCGGCAACCAGGCGAAGCAGAAAAAAACTTCAGTCGTGGTAGCTGACAGATAAAGAGTCCTCGAGCAGCAAAGGCCAGCAGGGGTGTATGCGTGGAAGAACAGTCCTCATACCTTGAACGATATGGGCTGCGCAGACCATACATGCCCCAGCACTCCGGAGCCACGCCCTCAGTTTGAGCACCATAGTTGGAGGCTGGAACCGAGCCGTCCTTTTCCAGACGTAGCATGCAGCCTGCCGGACTTCCATGACAAGCCGTGGCCGGCGAGAAGGGAAGATAAGTCTCGGCCATGCATTGCCTCAAAGCCACTGCACGAGCGTCGCAGTCACACCCTCACCGCCGGTGGTCGTCAGATCTTGGCTGTTTGCTGAATTAAACATTTTGTCGCCTTGTCCAAAGTAGAGGCGCCCATCAGGCCCAAAATCGATCTGTGACCCGTAGTGCCAGTGCAGTCCCGGAGCAATGTCTGGATACCCCTGTGGGTCCTCCCACAGACATGACTCGCTTCAAGATGTTCCAGACAGCAAGCATTTGAAGGTCAGAAGTCTCGGCCGTGGCTGCTGGTCGCAAAGACAAGCGAGTCATACCTTTCTGGATCAGCGCGGCTGGTTGCTCCGCCCTCGAGCTCTTGATGCTGGAAGGTTACTAGACGTGCTGCCTTGCTGCCACACGGGGCTGGCCCACTGAATCAGCCAAAAACGAGTCACAAGGAAGGAGAGAGACATGGTGAGCAGCAGTGAGTATTGTTCGAGCCTGCTTTTGCAGCGCGGCACGCCCTGCTGTCAAAATGAACAAGTCACAAACCTGATATTGTTGCGTGTGTAGTAAATGTAAAGGGTATGAGTGTTGTTAAAGTCGTTATCCAGCAGCAGATCCTGTCGCAGGTTGAGTGCCAATGGGAAACCCGAGCGCAAAAGTCAGCGCACCAACAACAACAAGGAAAAAAAAAAAAAAGCAAGAGTTGAACAGATCAGTCACAGCATCATGAAGCGGCGCCAGCAGTCATGGCGAGTTGTCTCGAGCCAAAAAGAGAAGGCAGGCGGGTGTTGGCTCGTACCAGTGATCCCTTGTCACCGAGAGGATCCGTGAGCTCCGTCAGATCCAGATATATCTGCCGCAAAGCGGGATACGGTCAGTCAAAGCTCAGTGAATGTATGCAAACACTCGTCGCAAAGTTGGATGTCCTCCAGGGGCCACCGGGCGGGGATCTGCCTGCACACCTGAGAATCAGCCACTCGATGCCCGTCGAGCTGAACGATAAAGACCTTGCCATACTTGGTGAGGACCAGAAAGCGGGTCCAGTCTAGCCAGTCTATGGAGGTGACGGCACCATCCGCCTCAAACACCTAGCAGCCGGGGTTGGATGACCAAACAAATAAACGGCGGAGCGCTCCGCCGCGCACCGCGGCACCTGCCTTGACCGAGTGTAACTCACCTCAACTCGATGAAAGTCGGGCAGCTTCTTGGCATGCACTCCCCAGAGCAGAGCGCCCAGGGCACAACATAAGAGTGGCCAGAAGAGCGGCCAAAGCCTCAAGCTGTGCATCATGATGCGCAACAATCAGATGCTTTCCCCCCGCGGGGCACCTGGCCCGCCCTCAACGACAAGCTAGCGCAGCCTCCCAATGCTCCTCAACAACGCCAAGTAGCCAGGCCTTTTCCACTTGCGTTGGACAATGTTGCGCGTTAGGATGGTCGTCGAATGCAAGTGCCAAGTCTCGTGGCAAGCAAGAAAGCAATACCCAAGGGCAGACAGACGTGATGGCAGTCGACCAACGTGATATGATGTCGCCTCCCCGCCGACCGCCTGTTGCTCTGATGGAACTGTACAAAAGTCCGTGTGTCATGCTTGGCTGGAGATGTTGGAATGGGTGAGCGGACACGCCCCGTATCCGCTGCTCTGCACACTGGGAACAACGTGAATGTCCATTAGCGTGGTGGAGGATCGGTTTGGAACGGAGGAAGAAGGGATAGTTGAGCCGTGGGATAGCACGAGGCGAGTGTATCACGCAGACAATGATGAGCAGCAAAGCATCAAGCCTCTCTGGCACACCAAGCTGCCGTGAGATGACAGTCAAGTCGTGTCATTGTGGCCTTGATAGTGGCAGTGGCAGTCAATTGCGAGTATGCGCCGAAGGTGGCAGGTGAACCATGTGGTCGTGCATTCTGGCTCATGTGTACGAGGTGACCGTTTCGCTGCAAGCCGTACATCACTTGGCTCGAGTGCTACGCGGGCTCAAGAGCTATGCAGAACTCAATGGAGCTGTACTTATAGCCGCCCTGCTTATGCCGCCATTGGCTGGCTTGGAACGAGAATCAACCACAACAATGCTACTGCTGCGGGGTTAGCCGCAGAAAGGCCGTGCCATGGTTGGGCACTAACTGCGCGATGGTGTCCTGGGCCACTCCAAGAGACTTTTGTGCCCAGATGTCGTAGACCTCCACGGGACCAGCCAGGCCCACATCGGCAAAGCGCAGCGAGATGTTGAGGTGCTGCACGGGTGGCGTCTTGTCAAGCTTATCAAAGTACATGTAATTGTTGTTGTTGACCCAGCCGCACTTGGCATTGTTCTTGAGGCAGCTCGACCCGTCAGTCTGGGGGCTCGCAGGGGGGCAGTGGCAAGCAGTCAGCGTTGGTCCCAGCGGCACGAGGCAGGTAGCGAGCCGTCCGCCACTCTGACCACACACGACCTAAATGATACGACGCAGCCCCTCACCAGCGAATAGGAAACACCAACGCAATCCGCATCCTCACAGCAAGCCTTCAACAGGGTCGCCAGATCCAATTCTCCACACTTGTCATCGCCGCCCGCACCTCCGCACGACTCCACGTAGCCACCTAGGGTGCGAGTGCAACATCATAAGCGGCTGCCCAAATTGGCTTCTGATTTGCCAGCAGGGGATGAAGTGGCGAGCGCGCACCATTCGACACGTTCCAGGTAGGGCATGAGCTGTTCAGGTGAGCAGCAGCTCCCTACATGAACGGCATTCATGCAATTAGGCGCCTTTACACGTGCTGACACAGTCGACAGGAAAAAGAGACAAAGCGACAAGGGTGTGTATGCCTCAAGGTGTGGGGCAATTGGTGACGGCAAGTCGCACGTACGCGATTGTACAGGGCCACGGCTACGTCGCCGTTGGAAAGATTGCGGGCCCAAATGTTATATTGTGTGTTGTTGACAATTCGCAGGCCTTGCTGACCCAATGGATCCTGGTCCACCTACGCGTCGCAATCGTCAACACAGAGTAGGTGATCATGTCCTAGTGACTAAAAATGCCAATCTCATCCCATACATAAGTGGCCTTGCGAGCAAAGTACTGCTCTCACACACCGCAATGGCATCCTTGTTCAGCAAAATGTTTCGGTGTTCGGCTGAGATGTTGCGCACGTCGTTGCCCATAATCAAAGGGGCAGCGACAATGGACCAAATCGCCATTTGAGTGCGAGCCTCGTCGGCATTGATGCAGTCATTACCGATGAGCAGCATATCCTACACCAGGCACCCGGGATGCAAGGGTGGTGCCACAGACACGAGCCATCCAAGGGAAAAGGCACGGGCATGTTGGCTCGTGAATGCAGGGGCAGGCAAGACGGCTTTCAAACAAAAGGACAACAGTAGACACCATCTAACAAACCGGATCATTCCAATGGCCTGGGCCGGCATATTTGCGCAGGGTTTCACCGTATTGGCCCCAGTGATCAATGATGCTGGACAGGGAAGCCCAGTTGCACTGAATGTCGTTCCAGTTACGCCACAGGTTGCAGCCAATCTCGATAAACCGCTCGTAGGGCTTGGTTGTTTCGTCGCTGCCTAGATAGGCGGGCCTAAGGGGGGTTGAACCCATTCATGCACAGAGCCCTATTGAGACCGAACAGCCGAGCAAACGAGACCGTGATCGCGATGCCCCAGGCGGACGGAACGATCATTGCTCGCTGCACGCTGGCTCACCAAGAGCAAGAGTACACAATATCCCGCGATTGATTTTGCAGGGCCGAGCCCATACGGGGATAGCCCTCGTTGTAATAGCTTGTATCACCACAACCATCCACTTTGAGGTAGTCTGTGTAGGAGATGAGTGGCCCAGTGTCACGGGCGGTCCGGCAGAGCGCCCAAGTGGTGAGCTGCATTGAGCAATGAAGCCCAGCATGTCATGCACATACGTACCAACACCCCATTCGGCAAAGGTGCTGGCATCTAGCACTTCATGGTCCTTGGAGGCAGGATAGCCGCCGCACGTCTTGGATGACTCGGCCGTGTATAGGCCAAATTTAACCTAGAGACGCCAATTAGGTATGGGTAACACGAGCAGCCACCGCCAACGAAAGGTGCGTACAGCAAACAGACACGTACGCCCTTGCCGTGCACGTAGTCGGCCACTGCTTTCATGCCATCGGGAAAACGGGTGGCATTTGGCACCAAGCGATCAGTGTTGGGATCGCGGGTTGGCGTCTGACGCTCCCAGCAGTCGTCTGGGTTGCAGGCAGTCAGAGGAAGGAAAGGCCGGGCCAGTGTCAGATCAAGCGGCGGCCCGACATGACAGCATGCGCTGGCAATCTTCAATGCCATCCTACCAATATGAATGGTGTCATAGCCAGCTGCCAGGTAGCCGCCCTCAGCCAAGGCATCGGCCGAGGTCATGTACAGCTTGTCGTTAATGCAGTTGTCCGGGTCACTGGCACAATCGGTCTCACAGCTTGGACAGGGTCATACATACAACGAGAGGAATATGTGGTGAGAGGTGGCTGAAAGCAGAGAGTGCAGCCAGGCTCGCCGTGCAGGGCAGTCTTTGCATTCACCACTTGAACACCGGCTCAACCCTTGTCAAGCCAGTGTGCCTGTCCCATGAAAATTACACCCCTCCCGCACCCACCGCAGCATACCGAAAGATCTCCCATGACATCCAACCCATTGGTGGTGTCAGAGACAACTTGCCATCCTGGCGACCCTGCGCTGCACAGCCTGCCAACAGCAGCCCAGCAACGATCCACACGCCCCTCGTCATCCCGCCCAAGTTCTGATCTGGCTTGACCACACAGCCCGTGCCACCGAAAAAAAAAACGCACACACACACACACACACACACACACACACACACACACACACACACACACACAAAGCAAGTCAAAGCAAGTCAAAGAAAAAATCAAAACAAGGGAGATAAAACTACACCACACACATCTCTCTCTCTCGCTCTCTCAAACTCTCTCTCTCTCTCAAACTCTCGCTCAAACTCTCGCTCAAACTCTCGCTCAAACTCTTGCTCATATGAAGAAGCCGAACGACAAGCAAGGGGCCGCCAAAGGGATGGCAAATCGGGGTATCGCGAGGCGGAGGAAAGCAAAGCTGAACGTGAAAGCAAAGCTGAACGTGACAAGTTGGCTCAGGGTTGGCTAGCCTCAATTATGGAAAAATAATAATAAGAAGGCTATGCTTCCATGTCCCCGTTTGCGGGCGCGGTCCCAATGGTAGCTGCTGAGATGTCGTCCATTGTCGCAGCGCTCGAGCAGGGCTTGGGTCGTTGGCTGGTAAACATGGCTTGCTGGGACAACCCCGGCGTTACTTGGCTCGCGATTTCACTAGACAAGCTAGCGTGAACTGAATTCGGGCTCGGACCCTTGTCGGTCGCGGTGGTATCGCAGCCACGGTGGTCTGGTGCCTCGGCAGGCTCCCACTCGCCCATGGAGTCGTCCGAGGCGTGGTAGTTGCTGCCACCGCTGGATTCAGATTCCGAGTCGAAACAATCCAACCTTGCCTGCGCCCCTTCTGCCATCGGATGCTGCAGCCGCTCGATCAGTACTGCCAGGGCTGGTCGATCTGTCGTGCCGCGACATGATGTCACAAATCGATACAAATCTTGCACCCGTATATCGAGCCCTGAGCGTCGGAGCAGGTGCGCGCAAGCGGGCACACCGTGCGATCAAAGGGTCCATGAGGACATGTACCGAAACACCCATCATCCGGCCACATAAACAAGCATAGAAACCATCAAAAGCTTGGACCGCAGGCGCAGTAGAACTGACCCGTAACGGCTGCGCTGGCAGCACAAAGGCGCTGAGCCAGTGCCTCGTCGCCAAAAGTGAAATACACCACATCGCGAGATGCTAAGAGCACACCATGCGACAGTGAGGCTTGGCTTGTTGGTGCAGTCAAGGACGTGTCACCCGACGGAGCGTGTTGCCTGCCCAAACCTTTACCTTGGCTAGCAGCTATCCACTGGAGCAAGGCCTTGAGATCCAAATCTCCACCAAATGCGCCGCAGCCCCAGTTACCTTTGTTGCCCAGCAGATGGAGCCAGCGAACCAGGGTCAATCCTGTGAAAAGCCGCACAAGATGGTTTGCTCGCCTTCTTCACCAACGCCTCTCTACATGTTACGTACCGGTGGCCACAGGAGCCAGTGGTCTTGTCCGAACGGTTTGCTGTGAATTAAACCCGGCATATGCCTGACCACACCCAGTAATGTCGAAAGGAGCATCAGGTCACTGAAAAGCAAACACGAGGTGTCTACCAGGCCTTGGCCTGACACTTCTTGGTGAGGTCAACAGGCACACACCTTGTGTAGCTCACGGCGAATGGCACGTGTCGAAAATTGCTCGTGTATGCGACTGGCATCAGAAAAGCATGAGTGTCAAGTCACAACGAATGTATCCGCAAACCCTCCGGGCCAAGCCAGGGGCGAACAAGCAGGCGTACTCAGAAAAGACCAAAGCGTCAATTGCCGTCAGCTGAACGCCACGACGACCATGGGTATCTCTGCACGCTCGACGCCCCGCCAGCAGCTTGTGAACATGCACGCTGTGCCAAATCCTCCAGAGTAGGTGCGCGGGCCAGGTCTGTTCTAATCCATGACGTAACGTACCGTGGTGTTGCATCTTCGCACGGCTCTCGGAACAAGAAGGAAGACGAATAGCCCGAGTACCGCGCAAATTGCTCAAACCCTATTGAGACCGCATGTGAGTACCCTAAATGAAACTGGGCATCAACCGCGCGCAGCTGGAGGACCGAACCACGTACCAATCATACGTAAAGACTCGGTCGCCTCCAAACGCTCAGTGAAAAGACGCGTCACAATAAGCTCTGCGCCATTGAGCACCACCGCGACCAAGGAACCAGGATCAGAACAGTCGCCGGCGACAGGGTTGGCCAACCGAAGCATACGGATCATCACCACATACCAGGGCAAATCAAGAAACGGATTTCCTCTTGCACTGCCCCACGCCCCAATACACCACCTCCGATCATGTGATTGGCAAAGTCCACCTACACCATGAATGGCCGCGAGCGTTCATCGGACGGGTAATGGTCGTGAGGCTCCGTGTGTGCACCTGATCCCACGTACTTCAGTACAACGTCTGCTCGAAAACTCCCTCGGAGATCGTGAAGCAAGCATGACAAACGCGCGGTACCTGTAGCATGTCAACACCATCATCTTCAATGGTGCCCTGGCTGTGGGCCACCAGCCCTGTCACCGGCTGGCCAGACCTGCCATGCGCCACACTCAACGTGAATCCCAGGCATGTGCACACCCAAAGCTTGCTCGTGTTGCACAGCGGTGGTGCCAGCTGCGTGCGCACATCAACTCACGTGGCCCAATCTGGCGCAGACCGTTCGCATTGGCGTTGGAATGTCACGACGCCGACGGGCACTTTTTACAAAACCAGGCAACGAGAATGAGGGCCAGTGTCTCGCTGTCACGAGGATACAAGGGTCTCTGTCTCGAGTTCATGACTCACTCTTGTTTAGGACGCGGTGAAAGTAGGCTAGAATGCACCGTAACTTGGCATGCGCCACGGATGGCACGCCACCGTGCCCCACTCCATTGAGCAATCTATGGTCTCATCCAATGACCCCATGAGGTATGGCACGGGCCGTGCGCAAGCAGCGGTGCTGGAAATGATGAGAGAGCGGCCAGTACCGTTCAAAGTTGATGCTGGGAAAGTTCTGGTATTCGTGACGCTGAGCATAGCGTCGAGGGTACGTGCACAAGAAGGCATTGGCCAAGAGGCAAGCAATTTGCTCCTGACTCAGGCTGAGGGAGTGGTTGACATGATGAAAGAGGAGAGGAATAGGCTGGGTGATGAGCTCGGGCAGCCGGAGCGCCAGCTTGATCACGCCGGGCAGTGTATGTTGAAAAAAGAAATCACCCTCCAAGGGATTCTAAGTGGTTGTGTGTTGTAAGCGTGTGAGTGATGGGGCCGAACTGAGCTGCCCAGAGCTCCCCTGGCTGGGTGGCTTGTGCGTGTACGCGTGCGTGCGTGTGTGTGCTTCATACCTCAGCACAAAATGACGCAAGCGCATCGCAAGTCCAACCACGGGCATAGCGATTGTTATACGAGGCGATGGCTGTGAGCAGATCAGAGGCAGAGCGAATGGGCCCACGTTGAAACGCGTCGGTGATGAGTTTCCATCGGGTGGTCGTTGTACCATTCGGCAGAACGTAGGCACAGGCAGGGGAGCATGGCAGGCTAAAGTACGGGGAATGGTGTGAGCAGGATTTGAGGTAGTCAAGTACAAGGGAGCAAACACGAAAACCAATGGCTCCATACCGGACGTGACGCCTGTCCCACACGTCTTGCGCAGGGCCCAGTGGAGCTGGCGGGTGTGTATCGTCCGGATGCCACGTCTGGAGAAGTACCGATGGCCGCGACTTGAGGAAGAGGATGCAGATAGGGTGCAGGCAGTCGCGAGGAAGAAACGATCAGGAAGAAGAAGAACAAGAGCAACAGTACAAACCTCACAGAGGACGGTGTGATACTTGGGGTGGGCAGTCACGGGTGGATGAATGGAGCGTGTCCTTGCTGAGGCCTGCAAACCCAGCCATGGTTAATCAGTGCAGAAGCAGGCAGGGCGGCCAGGACGGCCGAATCTATGATCAGTCTTGAAGACTGAGATAGCTGGTACATTAGATCACTTGCAGGCACGGGCGGGACGTACTGAGGGCAACGATCTTTCGGTCTGCTTGGGAGGATCAAAGTATCGAGCTTGGGGAGTGTCCGGCTCTGCGGACGATGCAGTGCGTGACGCAGTGCTGGTCATGGAGGCAGTGCGTGCCGGTGGGGGTGCTGCTGGTGCGTCTCGGGATATACGCAAGCCAGCACTGCCACTAAACTTGAGCGTAGCTTGCTTCATCCGTTTGGACTCGGGCGCAAATCGCGCCCCCACCAGACCATCATTGGCCGCCATCCCAGCCTGCGCAGGGCTATCCACGCCCCTGCACACTTGACCCAATCAACCCACAAACAATCCCTCAAAGTCTCCAACACCACACACCCCTCACCGACACTCACCACCCACAGCCCAGAGAGACAACACCGGACCACCACCCTAGCACATGGCACATAGCCCGACCCGCTGCCATCCACAAAATCACACATAAAATAAAATAAAAACGCAAAAATGCCAAAACAGCTC